AATAAGAAGAATGTTACTAAATGTCTAATGAAGGGTGACCACGCGCCACTAACGCCGAGAAAGAACCTACAACGACCATCTGCTTTTCCTCAAGCACCAGATATCAGCTCCGTCAGAGCATCTTGCGATCCGTCCGCCGACTATGCTATCGTTATCTCAATGTACGAAGTATACAACGACCGGATCTTTGACCTTTTAACTCCCCCGATCAGGTCAAATAGTAGCAAAGAGCCTCGACGACGGCCGCTGCTTTTCAAGTTTACTGAGCTATCTTCCGATCGAAAGGTTGTGGCAGGGCTTCGAAAGGTCATCTGCGGCAATCTCAAAGAGGCGCTAATGGTTCTTGAGGCCGGGCTTCACGAGCGTCGAGTCGCTGGCACAGGCAGTAATAGCGTGTCGTCGAGAAGCCATGGGTTCTTCTGTATCGAAATTAAGAAAAGACGTCGTGGCCGCCACAATGCACGCTGGGGTAATAGCACACTAAGTATCGTCGACCTAGCTGGTAGTGAACGAGCAAGAGATGCGAAAACACAAGGCGCGACTTTAGCCGAGGCGGGCAAGATCAACGAAAGCCTGATGTATCTGGGTCAATGTCTACAAATGCAGAGCGACGCTAGCAGTACGACGAAGGTATGTTGCATTCTTTACTCACAGTATTTAGGAACTTCGCTGACGATGAAAAGTCTAATCTAGTTCCCTTCCGTCAATGTAAGCTTACAGAGTTGCTCTTTGCCAACTCGTTTCCTTCAGGTTCGCCCTCAAGCTCCACAAACGGGAGGCGTGCACCACAGAAGGGCGTAATGATTGTTACAGCCGATCCTCTAGGAGACTTTAACGCGACGTCACAAATTCTTAGGTATAGCGCTCTAGCCCGTGAGGTTACCGTGCCGCGTGTTCCTTCTATCACATCTACAATGCTTGCCAATGCGAACAGCTCAGCGCACTCTCAGCGGTCGGAATCAAGTGTCGGGTCTCGTAGTGATACGAGCTCGCCTGTTCTGGCTCACCATCGAACGTATTTCCATCCTTTTAGCAACCATAGCCGGATGTTCTCGCCTATACCCGATACGGAGAGAGCAACAATGGAGAACGCGGCCTTGGAGATTGCTAGAATGGCCGATATGATAGATCAGCTGAATAACGAACTAATACACGAAACAGAGGCACGCATGGCAGCCGAAGCTCACTTGTTATCCACGGAAGACCGCCTCGCGGACTTGGAACAGGAGATCCGAGAGGAATGCTATGTAGACTTTGAGCGGCGGCTCGCTCTGGAGATGGGGCGATGGAAGGCGACGTTGTCGCTAGAGCAAGAGCGCAACGAGGAGCACTGGGACCGCAAGGTGGAGGTATTGGCTCGGAGTGTGGGCGTCACGGTCACTATGCCAAGCTCTGAAGAAGATAACGTTGAAGACGAAGATAAAGAGAACATCTTGATCGAAAATTTGGAGCAAGAGAATGAGCGTTTGCGAAGGGAGGTCGCCATCTTGAAGCGCGAACTATCCGGCCGCACGCCAAGTAAACGCTCTCCGCTTCGGGAGAGGGGCGATGTACCCAGCACCAGGGCCTCGTCTTCTGGGGCCGATGCGCTGGGCGATCTCGGTAACCGCATGGAGCAGTTAAGGGTAAACAGCGGCGAGGTCAAGAAAGCCCTCAAAGTGTCGAGCAGCGGAAGTCCTACGAAGAAGGTGCGAAAGCTGCGGAGGAGGTGGGAGGGTACGGCGGTTGATGACGACTTAATGTGAGATGTGAGATGTGATGTATGAAGCCGGTCGTGAAGCGTTTTAAGACCGTGTCGATGGATTTTATTATCGCAACTAGCTATTGGCGGTTGCATAAACGTGTTGAGGATACCCCTTATTTCGTATGTCTGGTTCAGACTAGGTTTATTGTCTAATTTGTATTCAACTGGTTTAATCCTGCTCTGGTTGCATAGGGATCGGTCTTCGTTATTGTAATGCCTGTACTTCTAGTCGCGAATATGTATATAATCGTGACCGAGTTCTTCGATACTAATATCGTTTTAATTAATGAAGTTTATGGCTGAGATCGATAGGGATGACCAAGTTTATTTTTCCTGTTATAGTTGACGACTAAATCTTGTCGTATTAGAAGTGATTTCTACATCTGAACCCGCTTTGCCAGCTTCCGGATGTAGGTTCGTACGTATCGCTTGTGCTGGGCATCGTGAAGCCTCGCCTTACGAAATTAACTAGTTGTTGCTACTGCCTCGGCCATCGAAAATCTGCCGCAAAATGCGTAATATAACGTACATCTCTTTCTACCAATTAGTTGAATAGGTAGGGAGGCTGATGATCAATCGATTCGGTCGAGGCGCCGCCGCTGAATTATTAAGCTAAGTCCCGTTAATTGGCAACGATTGACTGCCTAGACCTGGGCGGTAGATCGAACTAAATGGTTATTATATTCGGTGACGATGGGGTCCGGTGGGTGGCGTTATAGATGACGCTGCCATTGGTGATCAGTTTCCGTATAGTGGGCTTCCGGTATCTGTAGAAGCCCCCGAGCATTGCTTCCGTATCGGAGTCGCCTATTTGAGATTTTCATTCACGGGCTTGAGGTGATTATGAAGCTTGGAAGAGATTATATTGGGAATGCTTGAGAGGTGGCGGTGGCATAATGTATACTTATGTCTGGGTCGCCACGCAATAGCCTTACGATATGACTCAATGGATGATAACATCTGTGAGCTAGGTTGCGTAAGTTGTGGGTTGGCTCGCAAAACCCTTCAGAACTGTTATGGAGATATCTTTCACTATATTGTCCCTTGCCTTACCTTTCGTATCACTTAGGTGTTTCTATTCTACCAGTATAGTTTACTTAATTTCACTTGACGTATCTAACCTTGATATCGTATCCATAGTACCATTTATAATAGTAGCCTCTTTCTACTCGTTATTAGAGTGTGGATTTAACCCCTTCGTTAGGTTACAAATTTTATAGGCCGGACTATAACTGCGAGATTTACTCTATTACGAAGAAATACAAATACAACTAAAATATAACTAATACTTAATGATCTGCAGAGATTATATGCGAAGTAGAAATACATAGCTATCAGGGGCATACTGAATGGTATATGCAATCACTCGCGTTTAAATCTCGGTAATCTGAATTGTCTAACTACCTAACCAAGAGAAACTTCTCAGAGACCGGATTCCGATATTGAGAGTTTCTACATACGCGGTTGTAGATCGAACATTACAAATAGCGGTGCCAGTAGCAAACTGGTCGATCGTCCGGGTTGATCTCTTTTGACAACCGAATGTATGAGCTGCTTTAGAGGTCACTGCCCAACGCGTCAAAGACAAATTGGCTCGTTCCGATATTACAACTAACAAGACCGCGGCTATGTGGCGCTTATAAGATATACGAGGAGTAGCATCGAGTGGCGACGGACCATTAATCTCTAATTGCCACTGGCTCATTAAGCCCCCTCGAGACAGACTGGAGGCGATCGCACGATAATCAAATTATCCTACCGCGCCAGAGAGGAGATATGGGTTCGTCTAAGATCCGAGAGTTGATAGGTTGATGTATTGTCCTATCGAATCCGTTGCTGGTCTTGAAAATCCTACGTTGGGGTCTCGGATGCCTAAACTCATCTCTCCATGCAAATTACGGCTTTAAGTATCATTCAAATATGACAGACTAAGCCAAGAGGCTTAAACTATATGTATGATTCTTTGGAGTATACATAGGTAGTACTTGACTTGCGTGTCGTCCCATTGGCGCATTCGATATCCCATGATTCCCATCGTCTCACCGTCGTGCCGTTACCGTGAGGGAGCTAGAAATAGAAAGATTCGGCTCAGAATTAGACCGATCTTGGCGACCTGATCACTTGGTGGGATGAAGCTCGAACGAACCACACCACGCGAGGACCTGCATGAGTTTATTTCAGGGGGGGCCGGCATCAATTGGCTAAATATATTGGATAGCAGAGAATGTGACGACTGGGGTATCTTCACGGAGCTTGCCAGACTTGGCGTCCGTTACACCCCTGGATAATATGCCGTGGATATTTTCCACAACCCCAGTCTCGGCATCATAGACGTGAACGGCATTCCGTACTGTCGATCGCTTCCCACAGCGAGTTCTTCGTCCAATACCATCATGCCATCGTGTTACACCAGATCTTGCAGAGACCCCCCGGCTGCGGTACGCTGGCAATGGCTAAAAAAGAAAGGGACTCTCTCAAAATCTGTATGCCCTTTTCGTGATTTCCTTCGCGTCGGCCTTCTATACTATTGCTTTAGACCTGCGGCATCTGGACTATACCGTAGAATTCGGAGGCTTAGCGGGACGAAGCGCGGCTTTGGCTTTGCGCCATCGCCGTTTCTTAGGCTCGCTAAAGACTCCGGAGGCGTCGTAGTCCTCCGTTCTCTTCTGGATTTTGGTTCCTAGAGGCCCCGCTTCGCTATCTCGTTTCTCTTCCACGGCGGCGGCTTGGTCTCCGTGATGTGGACATACCGGGCCGCAATGCCATTGCTGAGGCATATACGTGTTGCCACCCCTGATCACTTCCCTGATCGCCCCCGAATCAGCTTGTCTGCCCCCATTCCCCGCAAATACCCCAGGTTACTTCGGGCCATGATCCTGAAACTTATACCATCCAATCTAAATTGCGTCGGAAGTTGTATCCCCAGAGTCCTCAAGCCAATGACTTTCGTCTTGGTTCATTATGTCGATCGTCACGCCCATCGAGTCGAATCCTCCTATTGGTTGATCCTATACACGACAACCGTTTTGGACAACGACTGGTCACTTTTATGGGCGTAGGGCTCTCCCGTTTAGTATTGTCGCCCCCAATGATCCAGAAAACGATCCAGAACGAAAGCACTTGTAGGCCACGGTCTACTGCTGGGACCAACCACGACTTGCGTTGTCGGAACACCCGCCGGAGCCTTGCTAGCATAATTGGCATTTTAATCTAATAGGGAATAGGCATAGGGCCGAGATTGTTAGTGATCGACTATGCTATACCACGATTTGACCATGTCGAGACGGAGCCCGTTGCCGGCAATATGGAGTCGAGAACAAGTTCTATCGCTGGGCAAGATATTGCTCCATCGACTATATAATCGACTTAGTCCCAGATGCCACCTCGACTCATCCTTAGCTTCACCATCCCTCCAGGTTTACAACTTCTTTACCTCGAAGATAAACCAGCATCATGTTGTCCCTCGCCGTGTCGGCCGCCCTTCTCGGGCTCGCGTCTGCCCAGCAGGTCGGAAAGGAGCAGACCGAGACGCACCCTAAGTTGTCTTGGAAGAAGTGCACCAGCGGTGGTTCCTGCACCCAGACCAACGCTGAGGTGACCATCGACTCCAACTGGCGATGGCTTCACACCCTCGAAGGCACCAAGAACTGCTACGACGGTAACAAGTGGACCTCGGAGTGCAGCACTGCCGACGACTGCGCCACCAAGTGCGCCATCGAGGGTGCCGACTACAGCAAGACCTACGGTGCCTCCACCAGCGGCGATGCTCTTACCCTCAAGTTCCTGACCAAGCACGAGTACGGAACCAACATCGGATCCCGATTCTACCTCATGAACGGTGCCGACAAGTACCAGACCTTCAACCTCCTGGGTAACGAGTTCACCTTCGATGTCGACCTGTCTACCGTCGACTGCGGTCTCAACGCCGCTCTTTACTTCGTCGCTATGGAGGAGGACGGCGGCAAGGCCAGCTACCCCAACAACAAGGCCGGTGCCAAGTACGGTACCGGTTACTGTGACGCTCAGTGCGCCCGCGACCTGAAGTTCGTCGGTGGCAAGGCCAACGTTGAGGGATGGGAGCCGTCCACCAACGACAACAACGCCGGTGTTGGCCCTTACGGCGCCTGCTGTGCCGAAATCGACGTCTGGTAAGGAATGACTGGCTATACGAGAAGATGTGCCATTAGAAGGAAACGTAACTGACCGTGTCTAACAGGGAGTCCAACTCTCACTCTTTCGCTTTCACCCCTCACCCTTGCACCACCAACGAATACCACGTCTGCGAGAAGGACTCGTGCGGTGGTACCTACTCCGAGGACCGATTCGCTGGCAAGTGTGACGCCAACGGCTGCGACTACAACCCTTACCGTATGGGCAACACCGACTTCTACGGCAAGGGCAAGTCCCTCGACACCAGCAAGAAGTTCACGTAAGTCTAATATCCAGTCTATTCCCTATCTTGACGACGACGACGACGATAAACTAACCTTGTCCCTACTTAGTGTTGTTACTCAGTTCGCCAAGGACAAGTTGACTCAGTTCTTCGTCCAGGACGGCAAGAAGATTGAGATCCCCGGCCCCAAGATCGACGGTTTCCCCGCCACGAGCGACATCACCCCCGAGTACTGCACAGCCGAGTTCGGCGTCTTCGGAGACCGTGACCGCTTCAAGGAGGTTGGCGGCTTCGACCAGCTCAACAGCGCGCTTGGCTTACCCATGGTCCTTGTCATGTCCATCTGGGACGACGTAAGTTTTCACAGCCCCCTCTTCGCAACGAAGGCATCTTATTGATCTTCTCCGCTCTAGCACTACGCCAACATGCTTTGGCTCGACTCTAGCTACCCCCCCGAGAAGGCTGGCCAGCCCGGTGGCGACCGTGGCGACTGCGCCCCCGACTCCGGTGTCCCCTCCGACGTCGAGGCCAGCATCCCCAATGCGTACGTACCCATTCTCCCCTCAGAGATCTACCTACCTATTCGTTACTAACAATCCCGCAGCAAGGTCGTCTGGTCCAACATCCGCTTCGGACCCATCGGCTCTACCGTCACCGTCTAAGCAACTGGTTAGAAGGCCAGAGTTTCACAGTCGTATATATTCTACCAATGTATATATCTACCCTTCGTATCAGATTGTTCCCCTGAGTTAGCTAGAGGGAGAGAGAATAAAAGGATCGGGCTGTTATTGAAAATAACTAACTATTATTTTGAAATCGTATAAGCAAGTGACGTGTGATTTTTGGAATGAGATTAGACTGAGTGTACTGCGTACTGCGTGCTGCGGGCTACGTGCCTTAGGCAAAGAGGTCTCTTAGGAGGTAATTTTACCTCAAAGTACAAGTACAATCTCGGATATAATATCTAGACGTGGACTTCAAGCGGCATATTACCATCGTCACCCGCTTTAGGTGGATTCACATAGGTATATATTTCTACGGCTATATCCTCCTACCATGCTTTCTTTAGTCGTCGACAAGATAATGATTATGTTATGTTTCTTCAATTTTCGAATGCAGAGCCCGGTACATACAATTATCGCCAGGCTTATTATAGCGACGCCCCTTTTCTAAGATATATAAGCAATATAATTCTCTAAAATTGGTGTCTTTACGAATGTAGATAAGGACTCGTCATTGCGTGATAAATATTATGTAGGACAGAGTAAAGTTCGGTTACCAGCGGGTTAGAGTTTATATTTCGTATTCATGGGTGATAGAGAATTGGCGTTTATAGGAGTGTTAGGTTAAGTACCTAGGTATATTTGCGAGGTAGGCTTTTAGTTATTAATATTATATTTTAAAACAGTCTAAAAATCGGTATATACCTTTATACGGTTTCTAACTTGAATATGATGCATTGATAGCTTTGGGGTAATACTCATGCCGTTACAAGTGGCGATGGTGCCAAAGTGGAGTTGTCCGTACGCCCCCTTTTACCAAAACATGTCGGAAGCTTTCCCATTACAAATTCAGGACTTAAATGGTTCGATATTATCATAGTTAAACTCTAATTTTATTCTTCCCCAAATACTTTATTTAAATTTACTTTATTTACATTTACCACATGCGCTACCGAGATGCATATTCTACTACGTCATGTCCAAGTAACACTACGTCATCGTCACCTCAGACATTCCCGTGTTCCCGTGCTGCTACAAATTAACCAATATCCCTCGTCTCAGTTTAATTCCTAACATAGTTCCTTACTAGCTATCATCGTATGATTTAGATATTCTCGCCTCGCCTGTATTACCCCGACAATGGCGGAACAGGACCGCTACGGCGGCTGGTTTGGCGGAAACAAAGCCGACAAAGTCCAAGAGAAAATACAGCAAAATATCCCTAAAGGCTCGGGGGCTGATAAAGACCGCTTTGGTGGTTGGTTCGGAGGTGATAAAGTAGACCGTGTAAAGGACCGCGTAAAGGACGCGGTATCGAGAGATCTGCCTAAGGGTTCGGGCGCGGAACAGGATCGCTACGAGCGCTCCTTCGGCGGAGACAAGCTTCCCTCTGCTGAGCAGGTTCGCGACAAGTTCTCGCAAACATCTGGCGCCGAGCAAGATCGGTATGGACGTTGGTTTGGTGGAGATAAGCTTCCTTCTAGATCTGATATCGAGAAGAGGCTTCCCCAGACTTCGGGTGCCGAACAAGACAGATACGAGCACTGGTTTGGTGGACATAAACTTCCCACCAGGGCAGATATCGAAAAGATATTGCCTCACGAATCCGGAGCTGAACAAGACAGATATGAACGCTGGTTCGGTGGCAGTGGGAATAAAGCCCCTTCGGCAAAACAGATAAATGAGAGCTTACCGTCGGGTTCCAGCGCCGAGCAGGATCGCTACGGAGCCCATTTTAAACCTACTCATGCTGCCAGAATCAGGTTTGGCGGCACAACATCAACGCTTGGACTCTTGCAACACGCAGTGCTGCCATCTTTCGGTTTCCACGGCGGCCTCAGTCTCATCGCGTACGGGTTAGGGCGCTATACCGACACGGTCGAGGCTAAGGACTGGCTGTGGCCGAGTGCACAAGTAGCAAATGCTTGGTGGAGCGCTATTGGAATTCCCGTGGTTCACGAAGGATTGTCTCTCTCTGCTGCCTGGTCTGCTTTGTCGTATGACCAGAAGCTGCTCTTAGGAGGTGTTAGCGCCTGGGGTCTACGTCTCTTCTACCGCGTTGCCTCACGCACCTTACGACGTGGTAAAGATGATCCTCGATACCGGACGGCGGCTAGGAAACGGCCGGAATTCTGGAACAAGATTTTCTTTACCGTGTTCCTACCTGAGGCTCTTATCCAGACCCTGATCTCCCTGCCATTCACGTTACCGTTCCGCGCCCCGATTGCTACTGCTCTTGCTTCCCCTTTCCCTGAAGCGTCGTCTGTGTCTCGTAGCCTTGCTATCTTCCTGTTCGCCGCAGGATACGCTCTGGAAGTCATATCTGATGCTCAACTTGTGTCTCATGAGCGCAAGAAGAGTACTGAACTTAACCACGAAGGCGTATTTAGCATTGTCCGACACCCTAAGTAAGTTCCTCCTTCGCCCTATTAATGCCGTGATAAAATGCTGACTGTTAGTAGCTATCTCGGCGACGCTCTGGCACACATTTCTTTCCCTCTGCTTCTCCTCAGTGCTGGACAACTACACCCTCTAACACTCCTTGGCCCTATTACCAACTACATCTTCCTGCGCTTCATTGGAGGAGACAAAGAAAACGGAGAGAACCAGGAGAAGCGTTACGCTAAAGAAAACCCCGCTAAATATAAGCAACTACAGCAGTATAAGAAGACCAAGAATAGCTTCTGGCCTAGCCTAGCCGAGTTCGGTAACAAGTGGTTGTGGGCTGTCGCTGCTGTCGGTGTTGGCGGCGTCGTTCTTGAGCGATCGCTAGGAAGTGTCGGGTCTTGAGTATGTACATAATGACCTTGTATCATTGTTAATTGTAAATAAAATAAAATAAATTGTTGCTGTACTCTTTCTATCAAATAATTCATGCATGTCCTGTGATGCCCTATTCGGGACTTGTTTACTTAGAATGCTGGCTCAATGGCCTACCAAAACCATCCACCTGGTACAACCCGCGTGCCTGCGTGACTTGCTAGTCAGAGCGCCTTTATAAAAGACGTAAACTTCTTATTTTAGGAGGTAGTGATGAAATAAAATTGTCAGACGTTGCTTCTGCCGTTGGTGGTGGTAATACCCAGTATCAACACGAACAGCCGGTGCCGCAATCAACAAAAAGAACAGACACATACGGATCCAGTACTTCTACTCAAGACAAGAAATCGAAGCAGGACACATACGGCTGAAGTATGTACAAAGAAGTGAGAACCCTGCAGATGTGTTCACAAGAATTATTCGAGAGGGACCACCATCTCCCCGACCATACTGGTAGCAGTATGTAGAAGGGCCACGATGGAACTTGATATAGAAGAATTGCCATGCCTATTCCAACTCCTCGAAGAGGAGAACAAGCCGATAAATTTCAACAGCGTCCGTGTCTGTAGCAAATAAATCACTCGTATTCGGAGTCTTGCGTGACGAAGCTGCCAAGAAGCTCCTGTCTGTTGTCGTGTGAAGAGATATGTGCAGTCGTTAGATGAGACATCCAGAACAAAGGGCACTGAACTGGTGTAGTGCCACGATGCCAAGAGCAGGGGTGTTGTTATGTAATCTTAGGTCACAGGCCATATAAAGGTCTTATACTCGACGTATTCTTCTGATTAGATAGTCAGGTTCGTACATAGGCCAATGGAATCATGGGGTACTCGCTTGGCAATAGGGGGGCCGATGCGTTAGATTCCCTTATATCTGGTTTGATATTGACGTTGATCTACTAGGTTATCCCCGAGAATGGGTCCAGAAGATCTTACAGAAAAGGAAATAATATCTTTAGAGTGATTGGTGATATATATAGAGAGAGAGAGAAATAGAAGAGGATGAGATTGAATTAAGTTGAGCGCGAAATGAATTCGGTAGGGAGGAGACGAATTTATAGAGTAGGGACATTCACCGTTGGGGAGCATATTGAACCTGGAAATCTTTAGGAAACACAACCACGAATACTACATCTGCGTATCTGTTTGCTCATGCGTCACATAATACAAAACCAACATATGTACCAGACATGCAAGTTGCCACCATAAATGCATCTTCCCATAGTGGACAAGGACCAAAACGCCAGTATCCTGACCGCCTCTGCCCGGCTTCCCTTGAGGGGAAAAAGAGATCTTGCTCGTGCCCCGATACTGTCTAACTAACCTTTCTTCCGTGAAGGCGACCTGCATCTAAGGTCGACAAATCTACCTATCCATAAGCTTCCAGCCGAAAACATGTGCTAAGGCTGCTATATGCAGTTTTTTATACCATGCCGAAAATCAAGCGCTTGCCCACCCATGCTGCTTCTTGTACCAACTAATGGTATCCATACCAGTCTGAACACGCATGCCGATCCGGGCGTCTAGGGTGAAGGCCCCCCAGTTAGCTACCTTGTCGAGCCAGGCCTGGCATTCCTCCGTTTTCTCCCGAAGCCACTCCTCCTCGTCCCCTTTGTCGTCATCCCTTCGCACTTCAGGTCTTTGTATCTCAATCCATGCAAGCACGGCCATCTCGTAGTTTGCTGCTGGTAACGCATAATCGTCTTTCGTAGGGCCTCTAAATGCCAGTCTATCGTGATGTGTTAGCTACCTAAGATTTAGACATACGAGACTTAGAACTCACCTATCCATAGCTAAAACGCTGTCGAGCAACTCGCGTGCCTCGTCGATATTACCCAGTGATCGCGCCACGGCGGCTCGACAGACGTTTCGCACGGCTTCTTCGTCTAATTCTGCCTCTATCTTCTTCCGCGCCTCGTTTGGTGCTGTTAACCTGTTCCAGGACAGAACCTTGTTCGAAAACTCCAGCTCCGAGGGCTGCATCTTTTTCATTCCGTTCCAAAGATACGTCATCTCTTCCGATGGGCTAGGACCAATAGCATCTACCAGATCTATTCCTAGCGCTTTGGATCTCTCTTCCCACTTCTGCATCTTCCGAACCACAAACTGCTCGAACGGCATCGGCTTAGCTAAGAAGCGCTTCTTACCAGCTAGCGTAGGCCCCTTTCTGAAGAGCTCATCTGCCTTCTTCTTATGTAACTGGATTTGTGACTCCTCCGCTTTACCGTGGAACGCATTCCGGTAGTTCTCTAGTTCCGCGCACCCGGCAATGTAGTAGTATAAAGTAGGACTCCAGTCGTTAAGCTCGATGCAGCGGAGGAAATTGTCGCGCATTTCGGGATAATCGTGAATAAACATGGAATTAAGAGACATCTCAAAATTGTTGATAGCTGTGACCTGGCGCATCTTTGACTCTGTATTGCTCTTTAAAATCTCGAGAGCACCCCGCAAGTCCTTGCTATTTGCCTGCACTCGACCTTCCTCAAAGCGCCAGAGGCCGCTATCCGGATATCTTGAGCGCATCTGGGCCAGCAATGCAATGCACTTAGCTTTTGGGTAACCTACAGTAGTACTCTTTTCATTGTCGTTATCGAAAGGGAGGATATCGGCGGCGCTTAGAAGACCATGATAATAAGAGAGCAACATGAGACTTGCTACAGCTCCGTTGACATTATTAAACCCAGAACTCTGCCACAGCAACTGTAAGCCGCGTTCGCGATCCCCCCTGAAGCCGATAATAGATAGTAAACGAGAAAACGCTGGCGGAACCATGGTGAGGAGAGTTAACAGGACTCCATACGCCATATTGGCACCGCTATGAATAAAGACGTCGGCCGGGCTGGTAAATACCTCGGAGCTACCCTTAGCAGATGGTAACTTAGAAGTACCATTGGAATTTAATGATAGTTTACTCAGTTCCTTTTCGGCTGCGTCAGTGTTCTTGGTAAGATGACCACCATAATCTAAAGGAGTTTGTGTCCCCGAATGTGCCTCGTCTGCGTCCACAAATTCGAGATCCGTGTCAGTATCGTCACTAGATGAATCTGAGTGAAGCCCCTTTCTTTTCAGATACGCAGTCTCTGCCTGCACGAGCCCGTCGAGCGTAACAAAAGCCTTCCGCAGCTTATAGAACCCCTTGAGACCCTCTGTCAAACTCTCATTCATAACGGCGACGACGGCGGACATGAGGTGTGCATAAGCTATGACCAAGGCGTACTCGCTTCCTGGGGGGTATATCCTGTCTTCGGCTTTACCGGCCTCGGCCTCCTTCTGAGCTTTTTTCATCTCACTCAAGGAACGTGTCTCGCAATCGTTAAGACGACTGAGAGTTTCGGCCATAATTGACTTTTCGAATCCAAGGATACTCCTCATGAAAGTGCAGACTCCCATTCCAAGAAGGTGGAAGGCCGAGTCGCCCTTTCGCAACCTCTCTTCGGCACCGTCGATGTCATCGTTCATAATTAAAGCGGTGGCATTTAACGCATCCACGAGGGAGGCTGTCTCCCGAGCCCGAAGATCTGTTTGCGAGGCTGCAGGACTTGAAGTTTGGCTCGGGGCGGGAGCAGATCCCCGAAACCAGGCCCCTATCCGACTCATAGTGACGAACCTGATTAGTTATGACGCCAAAGTGATACTCCGTCTTGGCTAACTACTTGGAGGATCGTGGACAAAACTATGTTTTATCTCGGTCGGTTGATCTGTAATTCCAAAAAATAGCCGTAGTGTAGCAATCAAAACATGGCAAGTTTAGTGATGAAAATATGTAAAACAAAGGATTAAATATTGTAGCTCCTATCAAAAGAAAGCTCAAAAGGCTTATGTAAAGAGCTGGAATAAGCGCGAATGCATGCACCTAATTGACTCGGGTGTCGGAGCTGAAGGACGTATTCACCGAAGTCCACCTTTGAGGCTCCGGCACGAGTCAATGTATTTTGTATCTTAGGTGGATAAGGGGGATGATTTTTGATGACGTCTCTAATGACACTGTAATTGAAAAAAAAAAAAAAAAAAAAAAAAAAAAGAAGAAGCAATTAGGAGGAAGTGAGTTTTCTGCCGAGACTAGACTAGATTAAGACTTTTTAGTTATGTTGGTGATATAGATCGCTTAGTTATATGAAAGTGTTTGTCGAGAATATAAGACAATAACAGCAACAATATTCAATATTAATAGTAACACCGCTGTATAATATATATCATTTTTAAAACCATTCAGAAATGGGATTCAAGAGAGTAAGCTGACTACGGAATTGCATTCGGGCCCTAGCGGAAATTAAATACGGTAGGAATGCTGCTGCAGATCGAGGCTGAATCAATAATGCACATAGATGTGTAACCTATACACCTCTAGGGCTGCTAGGTACCTACAGTAGCCGCGCATTACGTGGCTATGTACATATTGTACACATACCTGTACTACGGATCTATACCGCAGCCCCGCTCAGCCCAACTAGCCGGAAAGTGAAATGATTGGTTGTGCGGAGATAAAGTTTGGCTTACCCGTGAGTATTTTCCGTTTTCGGGGGGGCAGCGGCCCTTAACCTTATCCGCCTGCCGAGTTGTCATTGCATGTCCAGAACCTTATGCATCATCGATGTTATGCAACAAACAAGCTTATCTAGATAAATGATATATCCCATTACCTAAGATAAGAGCGCAAGGTTGATTGATAAACATTCCCGACATCATCCATCATCCATCACCTCAACAAACCGAAGCCTCGCCTCTCTACCTGTTCCACATTCAGCCTCGCCACCACTGTCAAGAAACGCATTTACCGCCCCCCTTTCAATACGCCCCTCGATAATATTAAGCATCATCCAATCTACACCGAACGAACTTACACACCTATTCACATCACAAGCCATGGCCGCACCCTCCAACAAGCCCGGCGACAAGCCCGCCGCCGAAGCCTCCAAGGAGCAGCCCCCGGCGCAGCAGAAGCCAGCTGCCGCGCTAGAAGAGGACGACGAGTTTGAGGACTTCCCCGTAGAAGGTGCGTTATATCTCCACCCCTTAGCTCTCTTGTAATAATCACACACGCACTGCCTCTATCTACTTCACACGGCCTTCTTTCCCATCCCGCAATATCTATAATCAAGTTAGCTACCTATGTAGCTACCTAAGACAATCAACAACTAACACCGTCAGAAACAGACTGGCCCGCAGAGGAGACCGAAGCAGCAGCGACGGCCGTGACGGGAGGCAACGGCACTACGACACAGCACCTGTGGGAGGAGAGCTGGGACGACGATGACACTTCCGACGACTTTTCCGCGCAACTGAGGTACGTTTATGTCTCGTCTACATACTTAGCACATCCGGCTGTCGAAATAAGCATCGGCAAGGCTTTTGACTATCCTCAAGTCAGCCTAGCATATAACCGAACCATGCCGTTTTATTTTCTACATCTCTCCTATGTTTATACCCCCCGATACTGACGTACGTACAAATAGAGAGGAACTCAAGAAAGTCGAAGCCTCGAAGCGAAGATGAGACCGTATTTACGGATTAGGCGTTTTCCAGCACGATGATCAAGCAATCAAGCAAGCAGGACTAGTAGCATTGGGGTCAGGCCATGACTAGAAAACCGAAATGCATTGTATCTATTCTCCAACGCTCTACATTATTTCGCCAGGTGTAGAGCAAACGAGCAAGGCTTTGATTAATAGATTAGCAGACGTAGAGCTGCCAAGTATGACACACTACATAGAGACATCCTTGCCTTCGTTGATTCAAAACTTCTTTATCCCTTATTAGTCCAGATCAAAATCGATATTATTTTCAATATCCGGAACAATATACATCACAGGTAAAACAACGAAATATGTATAAAGTATGTACGTCTAATACTTTTATCAGGTATTCATCTAATTTCAGCTCTGCAGCTTTATCATAAAGCTCAATACGTAACATTATCAATAACAATAATGAAAAGGATCACCGCCTGGTTGATCCACCGTTACCAGCAACCTGTGCATTTAGCTAACCAACCCAAACCGGTTACCCCTTTCTAAGTCGTGCTAAGCGGTGCTCACAGACGCACAAACCGCCCCTAATTCTCATTTGGTGCTAAGAGCAACTACGCCGGGTAGGGCCTTGCCCTCTAGGAGCTCGAGAGAAGCACCACCACCGGTCGACACGTGAGAGCACTTGCTCTCAGCGCCGTACTTGGCAGCGACGGTGGCGGTATCACCACCGCCGATGATGCCGATCTTACCCGCGGCCACGGCAGCCGTAAAGGCGTCTAGAGTAGCCTTGGTGCCGTTGGCGAATTTCTCGATCTCGAAGACTCCAGGGGGACCGTTCCATAGAATAGTCTGAGCGGAGTCGATAGCCTCCTTGTATAGCTTAATAGACTCAGGACCGCAGTCGAGACCCATCCAACCGTCAGGAATGCCGTCCTTGTCGGTGGCCGTGCTAGTGTTAGCGTCCTTGTCGAACTTGTCCGCAGTCACGTAGTCGACGGGTAGGACGACCTTGACATTGTTCTTCTTGGCCTTCTCAATGAGCGCGCCGACGTTCTTGGAGCCAGCCTCGTCGAAGAGGGAGTTGCCGATGCTGACGCCCTCGAGGGTCTTCTTGAATGTGAAAGCCATGCCACCGCAGATGATGATGCTGTTGACCTTGTCTAGTAGGTTGTCGATGAGCTGGATCTTGTCAGAGACCTTGGCACCACCTAGAATGGCGAGGAAGGGGCGCTTAGGCGATTCAAGGGCTTGGGCGAAGTAGTCCAGCTCCTTCTTCATGAGGAAGCCGGCGGCCTTCTGAGGGAGGTCAACGCCGACCATGGAAGAGTGAGCTCGGTGAGCGGTTCCGAAAGCGTCGTCTAGAAGATATTTAGTTAGCATCGAGGTAATTACTGTGGGATTAATTCATGTTACAGGCACGAGCGGGTATTCTTACTGATGTAGACATCACCGAGAGCAGTTAAGCCCTTGCGGAACTCCTCAACCTTAGCCTTGTCCGCCTTCACCTTCTTGCCCTCCGCATCCTTGGAAGAGCCCTCTTCCTCAGCATGGAATCTCAAGTTTTCTAGTAGAACGACCTGGCCGTTGTCTGCCTTGTTCACGATAGCCTCAACCTCAGGGCCGACGCTGTCCGGTGCGAACTCAACACTCTTGCCTAGTAGCTTCTCAAGCTCCGGAACGACGGGCTTCAAGCTATACTTGGGGTTGACCTTGCCATCAGGACGACCAAGGTGGGACATAAGGACAACAGCCTTTGCTCCGTGGTCGATCGCGTACTTGATAGTAGGAACGGCACCGGCGATACGTTGGTTGTTTGTGACCTTCTTGTCAGCGTCAAGCGGGACGTTGAAGTCGACCTTTGAGAAATATCGTATTAGTCTTGGGAAATAAAATCACGTATTATAATTAATGGTAGGGTATTACATACCCGGATGAGCACCCTCTTGCCCTTTAGGTCAACATCCGTGATAGATAGCTTGTTTGACAAGGACATTTTGACAGATGGGGATATTCAATTGACTCTTAATCCGAAATTGAGACTCTTAGGGAAAAGAAATAAGAGAATAAATAGAAAGAAGGATTGCGGTATTTCAGACGATAGATGTTGTTTTTTCTATGTCTCTCTTGGATGTCCGTTGGGAAAAAGCACGCAGTTAGAAAGACCGCAGCAGAAAGACCGGAACTAATAATAATACATGTACAATACTTAATGGAGGGGCAGAGGGGTAGCAGCTTCCTTACAATTTGGTGGGGTGAGGTCAACGAGCTTTACGGGTGACGTCCTATGGGCTGCACTTATGGGCTGCATTTAAGACGCTAAGATCAAGCATGTAACCGCACTAGACAATTTAGTGGTTTAATACATTGGCCTTTCGGACGGTCTATAGGAGGTTGCCGCCCTTTGAGTAGCTGAAGACGCGATCCTCCGTTGACTTGGGCAAAATGTTCAATATGTGGTGCCATGATTTGTCGACTTATTTTTCTCCTTTAGCCTTACTGATAAATTATTGGATCATATCTCCTTATAACGACGTAGGCCATGACAATAGTCTATCGTATTGTGGTTTTATTTGATAATACATATGTGATGTTTTCCTTGTATGTATTATCCAATAATATTCTCCAGTTGAGACACGCATGCAGATGATACTTCTGGTTTCTTGCATATACTCATTCTTGCATCTACTCAAAAGTACGTAAGTACAAGGTTATACCCAAGCCGCTGACCCTATATTTTCAACCCAAAGAATGAATGCGCCTATCCAATACCCATCTAATATCGGTTATATCGATTAACCCACAGACCACGCTCTTTGACGCCGTAACGCCTGCCGACACATCGTCTCAACGAATTTGATATACAGCGAAGGAAGATTCTAGTAGTCTTTTCCACAAGGATCGATAGTTTACTAAAGACGAATGTTAGGGGAGTAAGGAGCGGCCTTTTGCTCAGCCTCCTCGGAAGCATTCGTCAGTGAAAGGTATGCGGTCCAAGCGATACCGATGGTAGAGACGAAAGGCTATAGAGAGTTTTTAGTAAAAAGTGACGCGTAAAATGTTTACTCGTAGTAGATGAAGCTTACTAGCTGGAACTGAACCGGCATTAACCTAAAGTTGATGACCTGTACAGCAGGCCAAATCATGAAGTTCGCCTTCAGAGTTGGGATGTACATGTCCCTGAGCTTATGGGCGACTGCCCTACGACCACCCCCTTCCGCTACGGTCATGACTGTAAAGAAACAAGCGATACCGAATGGGGCAAAGATTAACTGGTCGAAAGCCACCCGCTTCATCGCCGGAGCGAATGCGCTCGTCTTCGTGATAGGGAACGCCCGTGAGAGGAAGCTAAACCACTTGTATTGTAGAGGAGCCATGCCGAAACCGTACGCCATGAACCTCGTCAGTCGCTCGAAGTCAAAGGGAGGTGGGAGAATCTTAGAATCCGGAATCAGATCTCGTTCGTTCCAAGGGTTCTTGCGATCTAGCTCGTGGATCTCTATCGCTACCGTATCATCTTTTGTAATGCCGCCGGGCTTTCGCAGGGCTCGTTCTCGGACGGATGTGATGGTCTGGGCTACTGTATCGGCAATACCTCCAAGGACGGCGTTCGTTACCATCATTGTAAGGACTAATTTGGGCAGTATCAGCACCTCACAGCGGGAACTTAGGTGGGAATTGCGTGGGTAATACCTGGCCGTTCATCGTAGTAGGCGTTAAAACGCGACACCAAGCGCGCGACGATAACCATCTCGATAAAGAATATAACAGCATGAAGAAGAGGCTGGATACGAGGGAAGAGTTAGTGATAAGCAGAAAAGGTCAACTAAGCGATGGTGGCATCTGAGGAAATAGAGTTGAGATAGTGATGACGATGATAAGTATATCGATGCCGATGTGGCTTGGCTGATGGTGAGAAAAAATATGCGTGGATAGGATCGTGCAGGATAGGTTAAAACTTAACGTACGATGCGATCGAATATGAATTTGCTATTGACTGCTCGAGAAAAGCGGCGCCGGGTGAGTTCCCAAGACATTGTGGGCGAACCGGAGGCGACTACACTAAATAAGAAAATAAAAAGTAAATCGTGCTCGTCGAATCCGAGGCGCAAAAACTGGGCTTCACAAGAGGGCTTGCTTGTGCTGGGAATTTTCGATCGATGACGACAGACAGATTGATTGATGGCTCCGATAAGACAGACGAGCCCCGTTTTCGCCCCGTTAACCACTAATGCCAAGTTAGAAAGGGGGTCTGGCTCGAAAACCCACAAAGATCTGTCTTATTGAGCTGGGGGAGCAAGTCGAATTATGGTCCTGATTGAACGGAGCCTGGATGAATAAATTTAGTTGGTTTAAACTAGGTAAGTTTTGATGATTGATGGAATTCCAGAGGGGAAACAATTAAATTCCACTAGGTTACAGGTGCACATGGCAGTTTCAATGTTGGGGAAAAGGAAGGCCCGATGCTGGAGGGGGGGGGGATTGCACTGCCTCTAAGTCAAGTGACGTGACTATACAAATAGTACCGATCGGCACTTCCTCCGCCTTGACGGTACTAGGTAATACAAAGCAATTAAATACCTTAGGTATACTTTAAAGTCAAAAATTCAAACTTTTACGTTTCTTAAATTAGAATATGCAACTACCTGTTAAACCCAAACTTAACCCAAACTTAACAGGTACCCAAGACTAAGAAATCTTATTGTTATTCTCCTTAACTAGATGATAACGAAGCGCCAAAAGACTCGAGATTATTGTCAATTGGTCAGGTTAGTTACCTGTCTGAACCTATTTAATATACAGCAAAGATGTTTCAGCTATAACTAAGCCTATTCCAACCGAAGTCATAATTGCAAACATTTTATCTAATTAGCCGCAATAATATCTCTAATACAGGCACCTGACCTTATAACTGCTGTACTAACAGCCAACATAGACATTAATGACAGCCAGCTAAAACCAGTATAACCTTCACTTTGAACCCGAAAAGACTTCCAATGTTCCTCTAAATTTCAACCTTTATGTAATCAAGTTTCAACTAAGCTGGTTTCTGAAGAATCACAGAGTTGATTTTGCAGGTCACTGTATTGCCGCTCACACTTGCACTCAGACCGCTGATGGAGTATACGCTTGCTCCATTGTAATTCTCAGGCTTTGTGTTGCACCAGCTCGAGTCGGTACCAGTACTTGTCTACTCACTATTAGATCAGGGTAATCCCCGTGTTGAATGAAACCGACATGTTAGGGGGTAAAAAGGGGGTACCTAAAAAATAAGGGTAGCTTAAAGCTGGTCACTTACAATTACGACGTTAGAAAACGCAAGCGGACCAAAGTCCCAGTCGACACCCGTACTAAGAATAAATCAATAACCTATGTTCAAGTATCAAATAAACAACGAATAGACATACAGCTCGATAGCAAACAATGCTTGGTTAAACGATTTATCGGCTAGAAAACATGTCAGCTTTTTAAATTCGAACATCTCTAAATTAAAGACTCCATCAAACTGTAACTTACCTAACGCGAAACTGTCCGTCACTTTTTGGCCCGTAGATTGCCGAGTTAGAGTTGACGTCCACGTCGAACTGTCTAGCTTGTTGCTGAACGTGACCTTTTCGTTGGCGTAGGTGTTAAAGCCGCTTCCCCAAGGAAGGCTAGGGTTCGAACAGCACCACTACGACAAGAGGAGTTAGTGATTGCTTCTTTATACGAGAAATATACTGCACAGGCCGTAATCCCTAGGACAAGATAAGGAGGAATAGGAGATCCCATGAATACATACTCCCGATCCAATCCACCACGTTCCACTTCTCCCATCAAGTACGTTCTGGTATACACCACTATTATCAGTGGGCTGGAGTCCCGGCCATAAGTAGTACGTCCCAGCTTTCGGCAGAGCCGGGATCGTCATGTCTCCGGAGAACGACGTGAACTTCTGTCCGGACGCCGGATAGTACCGAAGGAAATACCATGTTGCCGCCGACGCATGCCCAGCAAAGGCCAAGAGCGAGACGAGCAAGGCCGCCAAAAACATTTCTTAGCTGAGTAGTTATTCTGTAGGTATTCTAAATGTAATTAAAAAAAAGATTTAAGACTGGCAACATTAAAAAAAGAATTCCTAAATATTCTGGATAAAAGGCAAGATTTATAAGTCTCATTAGGTAGATAGACTACGGACAAGATCCCTGCTTTCACTAGGTTACTTTCCTGATTTGTGAGCTATCTACATGGGTGCTATCTATCGAATGGCTATAGTCGCATTCTTCGTGGAATAGAACAAACCGGGCCGGTTATTAAAAAGGCAGGCCATACAGAAACATAAACATGCGGTAGCATTGGTAAAAATGCCATCAGGGTATAAAAGATCTATACCAGGGTGTTATCTCATCGGATCCTATTTTTCCACGATTCGGGTTCGTTCAAATTTTATGCCATTAGAGTGTTTTGATAATGTAACTCTTACTTAACCGGTTTAAGCCTATCACTTATTTGAGTGATGTTAGGTGACTTGATAATAATACATTGTAACTACCTAGCTATTAAAACGACTTTTCGAGAAGAAAAAAAGAGATAGGGGTCACTTGATAGCATTAGTTAAAACTAAACACTCTCAATATCGCATATATCGACTTAGCGACCCGACAGACGGGCTCGTTTGTGATAATATTCTTCCGGGAATACATCGCCTTCCCTCTTCCGTAAATTCGGTAGACATTGAGCATTGAAACACGACGATACTCCTCCGAATACGGAAATTTTACTTCTCTCATCCTCACTAGATTCTTCGGCTTCATCAGAGTAAGTAGGGGGTTTCTCAAGCTCCAGTTGTTCGGCTAGATCAAGTAGCTTAGAACCCGCTTTCCGAACACGACGGTAGCGACTCTCCTGAAGTTCTCTCCGAGTCCACTGGCGAAAATCTTCCGAGATTTCGGCACCAGAGTGTAGAAAGATCTCCGCAACTTCTGCGAGAAGCAACCGGTCGCTTTCGTCTAGGATGATCCAGGATGTTGATTCCAACCAAGTAAGCCATGGGGTCGTTGTAGCTGCCTCGACCGGATCGAAGACTTCGTAATTTGGATCTCCGCCGTGAGAAAGCAGCAGAGACACCATTTCGGATGATAGCCCAGACGTGTCTTCGCCGTATATCCACTCCCGAATACCTCCATAGGTCAAGGGGAGAGAAACGGCCTGATAGAGTAGAGTGGACCATCTATCTTTCTTAGGTTTTGACGGATCATCGAGTGGGAAGGGAGCATGACTCCTGAGAAAATTAATCGCGCCGGCTTCAACAGCAAGATCTATTACTACTGACGACGATTTATTTGCCTCGGCAATCCGCCCCAACATGTCATCATCGTTTTGGGGGTCTGATTTTAAAGTGTCGATGAACGGCTGGATAACCCAGAAGATGTTGGTTTTGTTTTCTGGGTTCTGAACATCGGATTGTGCTCCCCACTCAAATCCGTCGCGGAGAAATCGAGTCGCCTGAGCAGAATCGTAAGGGATGCTCATCATGGATGAATAAAGACCGATCAGGGACAGTTCCGAGGCAGCCTGAAGCCCATCGGGGGGTCGCAAACACTCGAGATCCCATGATTTCTCGTTGCTTAAGAATTCAAAGACTGTGCGGTGCATGAATATTACTCTTGCATCGATCTTGACATCGTGCTCCTCTTCACCCCATGAACCGCAAAAGCAATGCTTGCGGTTTTCTCGGCGGACGCGACTCGCCCCCCAATATGTCTCTAGTAATCCTCCCGTTCGACTCCTTAATCGGCCTTCTAATTCCTCACATAACGTGCGCTTCTGGCTTTTCTCTAAACTCGGTATTCGCTCCATGCTCGTATAATCATCATCTATTAGCGCCAAGCCGAGTAATGTCATGTCTCTATACTCGAGCCTGTCCTGCGCTTGTCGCGCTACAAAGCATATTCGCAGCATCCGAGACCCCTGTTCTCTATGGCGCTTATTTATTCCATTAAGCATATGTTGGAACATTTCCTCTAGTTCCGGTGGCAGCTCATCGACGCGACGCTGCAACTCATGAATCCTATCGTAATCTGCGAATCCTAAAATAAGGGATCTACAAGCGAGGATAACCCAGAGGAAAACGCCCGAAGACTTATCGACCAGGTCTTCCATAATGGCCGTTGCCTCACCAGGATGTCGATCTAAGAGGCCTTTCATATACTTATGACCGCCGATGATTTCTTCGACGTAAGCCCTGATGTCAGCACGTGTTAGATGATGCAGATCTAACGACGGAAGCCCGCCGAAAGAAGCAACGCAATCTGGAATTGGTCTACTTGACACCACGATTTTTATATGGGGGTTTGTAGCAAGCTCCCTAAGAAAATAAATACCATCAAGATAGTTCCCCACGAATTCGTCTAGGCCATCAATGAAGAAGCAGAACTTGCCGATCTGTGATGCCTTCGCCGCAAGGACTCGGAATGCATATTTGGTCTCGGTAACAGATGGCAAGTTTGCTGCGCCGTCATTGTCGTAGAGTTGTTTCCACATGTTTGGAAGGACTTCGGGGATGAGAAAGGGGTGCTCGGAGAGTATTTGGTATAGAAGAGTTCTTGATAATCCCTCCTGGGACTTTTGCTCGTAAGTGCCCATATTATAGAAAAAGTAGTGCATTAGGAGGTATTTTGTGCTGCCGGCCCATATAGACAAGAGTTGTCTTGTTCGTTTATGCTGGATTACGTGCTTCATCAGCGTTGACTTGCCACTCCCGGCCTTCCCGGAAATCCAGTAGATCCCTGAGCCAGATTGAAGCCATTCCGAGAGGTCATCCCATGGACAACTTCCCTCTGGTGGCGCAAGTGCCCATCGTAATGTTTTACAATGCGCTTCAGCAATAGACTCTCTCCTCTCGTCAATAGTTCTGAACCATAACCGACAAAGAATCTGCTCCTGACAAGTACGTGTGATATGCTCCTGAGTTAATTCAGCAACCACAATTCTACTCCCGACTGCTGCTTCGTGGACGAGTTTGAGCCCTCTTAAATCCCTAATGGTAGCAACATCTTTGTCGGTTGCGCTCCGACTAGTTGCTTGATTGTCAGATATCGGAACAATCTGCGTGAGTTTCGTAGTGAAATGGTTCAACTCCTTGACTAAATCCTCGAATCTCGCCTTATCTCGGACAACCCAATGAATTCGCTTGCTCATTGTCGATTTTTTATCGCGTATATTACTTCGTAGTTTCATCGCTTCGAATTCTTTAACGAACTTTGCCATTCGATGGCCGCTAATCACGGCTATGTAGCTGGTGTGCCTAGCTCCCAGCAACTCCCTTTCATTATCAGGACGCTGCTCATCCGCCTTGCCTAAGCCATAACGATCTTTCAGTTGGGCTTCGTCACCCATTAGTAGTTTAATGCACCCTAAGATGCGAGCGACGGCACACTGAATAGTGACATCGTCTAGTCTTCGATCGTAGTCCGGTCTTAAGAGTCCTACTTGTTCGGACCACTGTAATAAAATAGTTCTCTCAATATCAAACTTGGTCTCCAGTATTTCGTAGTCGCGGCCGAATTCTCGTGAGCTCATGAAGTCGTTAAATAGGTCTATAGCATCCCTAAATGCACCTATCACGCCCACAAGGCCGGCCACTCCCAAGACAAGCCCAGCGATCTCGGCCATATTAAACGTGCACCTAGTCGCTGGAACAACTGAATTGGATTTTAAAAGCAAGGCACTCCTCGAGCAACAGTTGGGGAGGAATCTCAAGGGGCTACAGAATCTAGAGGTCAAGTAATTTCTAAGGTGTGGCTGAGAGCGTGGCATTGTTGATAGGTCGACGCTATCAGCAAGCCCAAGGCGGCCTCTATTGGGCAACGTCTTGGGCATTTTCAAGAGCACTGCCACAATGCGTATTGAATTGTACAACACGTTAACCTCCGCCATTTGCTACAGATAGCATAGGGTTGGATTGTACCAGAATAAGTCATCGCTCTTTTTGATATTAAGCCGACCAATGATATTCTTCTTATTGAGTCGACAGGATTCAAACTCTGGCTTGACAAGTCTTAAGTAGACTGCGGATAAATTCGCGATGGAGTTTTCAGGGGCTCCAAGACAATGATATTGTCTTAACAAAAATAGGGCAGAACGCCCTGTTATAGCTGAGAATAAACAAAACATACCATTGGTGTGTCTCTTTTAATAAATCTAGGGCTCGCATGGTACCTAAAAAGCCAATCGTATACAATTGCAGATCAAAGCGTTACATATGTTCTAGGTCCGATAGTTATTAGGAGTCTTAAAACCCTTTTTTACGGCGATTACCTTCTAACCGGCAAACGGAAATCCGGTCTTTCGACTTATCAATCTTGTGAAAAACCAAAGAGAGAGAACTGATACTTAAAGGGGCAAAATATAAGCCGTTTGGGACATATCTAAAGTTAGAAATTTGAGTAAATATATAGATATATTATTAGTAATCTGTAAAGGTGCCAACAACTTCATATGTCCAAAGTACCTAGATGCCACTTGAAGGGGGAGGATTTCAGACGTATTTAAGAATTAACCTAAACATCATTCTATATAGATGCCAGAGAGTGGGTGAGGGAACAATCGAAACTAATATCAATATACAAAGAGGATCTAAATGTCTCTAGGAATATAACTCCAAGAAAATAGCTCGAGGCTTAATAATTGTCATTGTTCACGTGGACTTGGACAAACGAAGCTCTTTAATAGCGCTGATAATATCAACGCACTACCGACTTGTCAGCACTATTAGATGCAATGAACCCCAATACGGCATACAAAAGCTTACGCCGTATCGTGGATATTGGATGATTAAGGTCTAGTCTTACAATCTCTGAGGTCAGCCAAAGCTATAAAGGACGATATGAGTGCCGTGGTCTTACCAATAGTAATATATTTCCCCTTAAACATACACGCTGACGACATCCAAAAACCAATAACTAAACAGCTAGCCACCCCGGACTAACTGCATATATCATGCAGTTACGCAGGTACGCGTGTAACAACCAACATCAGATTTTAGAGACGTCTATTAGACAATACAGTTGCCCATGGAAATTTTAAGAAGGTGTAAAAATACAACTGGAAGCCAACCGTCCATCGTTAGTTACTTGCGTCTAAATAATGTAAGCTATCTAAGTCCTTAGTCATCCGGAACGCCCTTATTCTCAACCTCCCCTTGTAGTCTGACAAGACTCTAGATTCGGCCAAGAGCCAACATCCGTGTCTATCCGCATAGTTATGTGCTTAGGTTTGCCAGATCAAATTCCATTATGCCGTAGTGGTTTGCCGGCATTATCTGACATGTCGTCGCCAAAATCCGGCTGATTGACGTAAAAATCGGGACTGTTGTTCTCGACGTTCGTCTTGGCTGCGTTGTACCGCTTAAAGGCGCTCTCGACTAGCAAACCAACCTCCTTCCTATTTCGGCCAATCACACCCACAGCAAGTAGCGCCTCTGTCTCTTCGATCCAGTCCTGGAGCCTCCTAAACCCTACGCGGTCCTTCTCCAGCCTCTGCGGCTGTCCAGATCCCTTGATCAGAGCTAGGATACCAGCCAAGACCGTGTTGATAGCTCCGAGCACAGTGATGAGAACTTCGTATCGCCCAGAATTTGGGCCGATGGCAGTCAGCGCCGCGCCGATGACGATCTGAGCAAAGTAGCAAAGGTAGAGGAACGCGGTGAGAAGGGCGTTCTGGACACATTTTATCTGTTGAGTTTGAATCACGGATTTATATATGCCAACCGCGGTATTACGTCCCTCTTCGAGAGTACCGCTCTCATTAGTGTCGCGGGCATAGTTTATTCCTAACGCCTTTCTAAAGATAACGAGGTTCTCGTCGTTAGGTCCGCGGATAGCAAGGCCTGCAGGAGCCCCCCAAGATAGGTTGGTGATTGTCTTTATGGGTGCAGGGTCAGTCGGCGTTGGGTTCGCTATGCTTGGCTTCTGAGGCGAGACGGGAGACTTAGATGACTTGGGTGCTGAGGGCGAGCTTATCTGAGGAACCGAAGTCCTCGAGCCCGGGCTAAGGAGAGGAGAGTGAACGTCTTTGATATCAGACATCGTTGCGAAACTTCTTGCCAAGAGATAGTATTTTCTCGTCTCGAACCTTGAGAGTAGTAGTATCTTGGATTTCAAATGTTATGAATACCAGTTCTTGAGTCAGAGGACTATGAAACCTTTATGTGTGGTAGCATATATATTATACTAGATGCTACAGGTGAGGGCCCTATGAGTCGTCTCACCTGACCGAAGGGTCATGCACCGTTACATGATTTGCATCTAGTCATCGCCTCGCTTTGAATAGGTTCAATAGGTTCAATCTGTCTCACGTCTATTCTCATCACACTGATAGAACTCTCTGCTAGCTGCTGACATAATTATATAACCTTATGGGAACTTGAAGGGGAATTGCTGACGTTGATCTCTCAGTCAGGGTCGCTCCTCAGGAGAGAGACCAGGTACGAGGTCTCATGGAAAAGAACACTCGACGTTCAAAAGTAACAATATAATAGTCAGACTATAAGCCAAAAGTAAGCAGTACCGAGCAGTGACGTCGGAGTGGACGACAAGGAGAGGTTAGCCGGCGCTTCCAGTGTAAGGGTAACCCTACCTTGTAGGATATTTGGCTGACTCCATATCAAGAGAACATCCCCTTGCCTCGGTCGTTCCGCAACAACTTACCATCTTTAGATCGTTTGTCCTATCCATCTTACGTACAATGTCGTTCCTATTTCTACTTTTTCTTTCACGGTATTATATCATAAGTAAGAAAGTCAATATTGGTGGTGTAATTCTTGTCAATCGTTCAAGATCGTCAAAGATCACAAGTTGTACACCAACTTCGAACAGGTATACTAACCGTAACAAACCAGCGGCTCCGCTTTGCATGCAACGCAAATCCCAATATCTTCAGGACCTAAATTCCGTAGCACACTCTCGGGTTCTTTTTTTTTTTTTTTTTTTGGATAAAAGAAAATCACCAAGAGAGATGTATAAACGAAAGCAGTACTGTTGAAATATCGTGGCCATATTATTTTTAAGATCGCCAAGTCAGAGATCATTCGGGTTGGATTGGGGTGACTCGGGTGACGATCTAGGCTAAGACAGGGGGAGTCATTACTCCCATCCACCAGTTTTCTATCACATGCCACGCAACAAATTGCGTCAAAGGGGAATTCTACGAAGAACGTTCAACAATGTTTTATGTACACGACACTATTATTCTGTTGAATGAATGAACCATGAAGTGCTATAAAATGATTGTCTACAATTTCGCCATCATCTCAGCCTCGATCAATAAAATTCTATAGTTGCATTTGACCAGGCCATGTCGCACGCTGGATGCACCACTCGATCAGTGATACCAACTCCGATAATCCTTCCTCATCGCGGGGAATTTCGTGAGACCCTTTATGTATTTGTATCTTTCTAATATATGGGTCGCAGAGCCCCGTGAGTTGGACTGAAGCCGGAAACAAAGGGTCATTCTCGCCCCATACGTGTACGGTCGGTATTCTGATTTTCAACTCTAGCGGAATTCTGTTCAGATTTAACCCGAAACAATCGTCCGAGTTGAACACTGCCCGGCGCGCCTTAGCCGTATGAGTTGGTAAAGGACCAAGACCTCGGTCTCGCTGCAATTTTGCTTCCGCTACCACGCTTTCTGCCTCGTTTGAGACAGGCACTCCGAGGTCTTTTAGAATCTTGAGCGGAATTCTTCCGTCGATGAAAATGGCAAATTTGAAGGCTGGCGGTAACTCATGATCATACCACTGTCGATATAATAAGAAGCTGGAAACAACAGCGGCGCTTTGAGAAACTGCTAAGACGCCATCGTAGGGTCCATCGTTGTCTAACTTTGTAGCTAGCCACTCGCTAGCTTTACGAATATCTTCGACATCTTCAGCCTCGTAAAACTTATAGCGATGTATCTCATGGGGTGATAAGTTTTCCGTTGGAAAGCTTGAACATTGCAAAGGACCGTTAACAAATTCAAACAAGAGGTTTTGGTTTGAATATTGCAACCTGGGTAGTAAAGAAGCTATTCAAAAAGTCAGCAAGGAAGATAATATGAATATAAGTTGTAATAATGCATGAGTATATACCTAATTCTGATCTCAAGATTGCCTCGTTCTGGCTATCAGCGTGAAGGCAGAGTATTCTCATGATGGAGTTAAAACCTTGTATAGCTTATTAACATTTTATCATGTAATAATATCTACCAAGTCTCAAGTCGCTATAGAATAGTTATGTTCCGGATATCCGCCTACCCCCGGAGGTCCGGCTTTCGAAACTCTTACTCATAAGCCAAGCTCCCTTAGGTACCTACATAACTATTTATAAAAGGAACTCCTCTTAACTAAAAAGGTGATCAAATAATAGTCCAATAAGATGTATTTTAAATTGGACAACTTGCAGTGTATAACTACTGTGGTAACAGGCAATTAAGCATATTTTAATCGCACCTGGTATTTCTAACTATTAGTTAGATAGTTGTATGTATTCTTAGTGTACAGCAGCTATGAGGCTTGTATTATTAATTAGATCCAACCAATGCTTGGACTTGTCGCATTTTACAGGTCTAGCTACCTCGGCTTAAATCCAACGCGTATACAGTGTCATTGGTACCTGTTAAGCGCCCTACTCACGACTACGGAATTTTGCATGTGTTTTCAGGCCTCAAAATTGGCCTAAGCTCCATATTTTTAATGTTTTATTTATATTTGCACATGCAACAATTATTACCTACTCTGACCTACCTTATAATTGCCTTGCTCTTTTTACTTAAGAAACCTGCGAGGAGGTAATAATATTTCGTAATAAATTCGACATTGGCATCATGGCGAAACCAACTATAGCGCATTGGCAACTTGATCCTGAAGGAGATGTCCTACTTACGCTTCACAACCCGAACGCACCGTTTGCTGTATGGGATGCAAACTATTATAAGAACGCACCTTCATCTCTTACAGAACAGCCTAGCACTCAGCCCCGGAATTCCGATCTACTAAAGGCTGATCCCCATCCCAAAACTAAAGCCGCTCAAGTATCAGACCAACCTACAAGTTCAACGTCTAAAGTTGAGTTCCTCCTCTCGTCAAGACATCTGTCTTTAGCTTCTGGATACTTCAAGCGCCTTTTACGAGATCCTTGGAAAGAAGTAACGCCAACATCCCCAGATGGTCGTCTGTGCGTGGACGCTGAGGATTGGGATGAGAATTCCATGCTCCTTCTAATGCGAATTATTCACGGTCATAATTACAAAGTCCCTAAATCAATGACTCTTGAAGAACTCGCTAAGATTGCCGTACTAATCGACTATTACCAATGCCATGAGGCGGTTATGGCGTGGTCGGATGTATGGATGGACCACCTAGGTCATAATTATAGAGAGGATAGGTTCGGCGGGAGTGTGCTCAGAAGAGATATGATCCTATGGATCCTTGTTACTCAAGTATTCCGTAGAGAAGAATGGTTTAAGGGAGCAACGCTGGCAGCTGTATATTGTTGTGAAGGTAAATTTCCAACGCTAGACCTACCAATCACGGCAGTAGCTGGTAAGTATCTATAGTCTATCTAATCACGCCTGTGTTGATGACATGCTAATCGCTATCATAGATAAAATCGATGAGAAGAGGGAGAAGTTCCTAGGTCAGATTTTTACTGATTTATATGGCCTTCTTAAACGCTTGCGCGAGTGCGCAGCTGGATGCTCATTTGCGTGTTCGTCGATAATGCTGGGCGCACTCAGTATACAACTACAGAAGCGAGGGATCTTCGAACCGCAGTTACACTCCCCATATGCTAGCTATAGTTGCCTGGGAGCTGTTAAACTGGTCCAGAAATTAACTACTCCCGAATGGATTGCCGTGTCACCAGCACCGATCATCGACCCCCCGGCGTGGCTCGCCTTGCCCTCAAACCAAGAACAACACTCTTGTACACTTTCGAAATTTCTCTCTCCGATATTTAATACCTATTATCCCGAAGTTGTCACGCTAGCAGATATCCAAGGGGGGCAGGGAAGGGGGTCAAAAGAGCCTTAGATGTTGACTAAAAACCCCGAGAACATGTATCTAGCTTGGTGGGCTATTACTTTGGCTTGGTTAATGATGGAGGGTAAATTGTCTTATAAATACCTAAGTACCTGATTTACCAATAAAATTTGAAAATAATACTTTCTGTTGAATCTATCACTTATCACGTCGCATCCATTTATGCGCCTCATACGGCCCGACCTGACCGCCGGGCACGTGTAACGTAGTTTGGGTTGAAATCAGGCTCCAGTAGGGAAGTAGTATAGTGATTCATAGTAGCTAAAATTAACTGTGTATATATTTGCTATAAAAGTTCTATAAGAACTTGTAATCCGACTATAGTGATATTCAAGTTGTACTTGAACATGTGGCTTTATAAGCTTGATCCCGAAGGAGACGTTCTACTTACTCTTCATAACCCCGACGCGCTGTTTGCTGTTTGGCATGAAGATTGGGACAAGGATGGGTCATCTATCCACAAGGATCAGTCAAGCATAGAACAAAATGTCCCCCCTCCAGGCGACGATCCTCAATCCGAGTCCAACGCGCATTCCGACAACGAGTAAGGCGTACCCAAGCCGCCCGAAGATATAACTTTTAACTGTATTAGGGCACCGTTTACAGTTCAGTTTCTACTCTCGTCGAAGCATTTAATTCTAGCTTCCAAATATTTCAAAAGTACTCTATGTGGTCCCTGGAAAGAAGGAGTCTCGCCTGATTCGGACAACGTCCGCCATATTGAAGCTGAGGATTGGGGTGTGTATTCTATGCTGTTTTTGATGCGAGTCATCCATGGCTACAACAGCAAGGTCCCTCGAGATCTCCCTCTCGAAACACTTGCTAAGATCGCTGTCCTTGTCGACTATTACCAATGCCACGAGGCAGTTATGCTATGGTCAGATATATGGATCGAATCCTTAAAAGAATCAATTCCGACAACGTTTAATAGAGACCTCATCCTGTGGATCCTCGTCGCCAAGGTATTTGAGAAAGATGACTTATTTAAGAAGGCAACAAAGGTAGCCTTGGAAGACTGCCGGGGCGAATTACCAACGTTGGACTTGCCGATCATGGAGGTGGCTAGTAAGTACTTCGATCAGATCTACCTAATGTATGGCAAAGAATTAACAGAGTTGACAGATAAAATTAACGAAAAGAGGCAAGAGTTTATAAGTCGGGTATTTGCTCACATGTACGATCTTCTTGGACTCCTCCGTGAGCAAAAAAAAGGATGCTCATTCGAGTGTTCGTCGATATTGCTTGGTGCACTTACTATACAGCTGCATGAAAAGGGTATTCTTGACCGACAACCAACCTTCCCATATCCTGGACACAGTATTTCTTCAGCGACGTCGATGATACTAAATTTTAGGTCACCGTCTGGCATGTCTTGGCGGCATCATAGCCACGCCTGCAAACTCCCAAGTCTTTTCGCCCATATTTCGGATGAACCGGTGGAAGGTCTTGAGCTACTTGCTGTGAAAGAGATCGGGTCAAAGGGGTCTCAGAAATCGACTAACAACAAGAACAAGAAATAGATTGATACTGAATTAACTACATTATCATGGCCTGCTTCACCAACTTGATATTGCAGACCCGGCTTTGAGTTGAGCTTTATCATGAATGAAATGTAATTCCTATATATAGGTAATCATATAAGTCCAAGTCACTGGATAACTTCACGGGAGCCTTTCATACATGCAAGTTGAATTCAACGACGCGGTCGGATAATTGACTCTATCCCATGAACTTTCGCTATTGGTACTACGTGATATCATTCTTCTTATCTGGTACCTGTTCCCTAAGCCTTAAACACGACGTAGGGAATATCATCGATGTAGGTCTATTTCGTATTAGTACATAACGGCGTCACCCACGTCCTCCCAAGGGTATTCCTTGAATAAGCCACTTACACAGGCGGGAAACGGGTTTCTCGGGTGCTAACCAGGGGCTTAACATGATCGGAAAAGCAATCGAGAAAGCGTATAATTATCGTCAAGGCCGGACTATTACCTTCAACTGTATTTCCCCCTCTTCCCCAGCACTGGGTATTCTCCAACCACAACACAAACCAATCACCTCCGACCCGGCAACCCCGGCACGCCAACATACCTCTCCTCCCGCTCCGTCAAAAACATAACCTGGATCCAAAACTCCTTCAGATCCGCATCCCACCAAGTCCAGTACCGATCTCCCGAGCGGTCGATCTCCCTCGCCTGCAGCTTGAACCCGCACGTCTCGTACGGCTCCGCCGCCACCAGCATGTACTGGAAGCTCTTGTCGGGCGGCTCCTCGACGCGCTGCTCGAACGCGCTCATGAACCGCACCTTGGGCGTCACGTCCTGCGCGATCTCCGGGTACTGCAGCTGGAACAGCAGCCCTTGCTGCAGCGACACCTGGTCCCGCACTTTCGTGATCTTGTACCCCGGCCGCCCGATCTTGACCATGTTGCGCCGCACCATGCCCGCCCCGAAGCCCGCGCCCACCACGCCCACGGGCAGCCCCGTGTTGGGGTCGATTTGGCTCTTGCCTTCTTTCTGCTCGCGGGCCGCGCGGCGCGCCAGGTTCGTCTGATGTTTCTTGCCCTGGGTGTGCGCGAGGTAGGACCCGTCGTTTTGGTGCACGGTTAGACAGAGACGGCATTCGAACGAGCCGACGTGGTTCTTGAAGAAGTAGGGGTCCTTGTCGAGGTCGATAGTTTCGAGGGCGAGCTTGCGTAGACGCTCTCGTCGGTCGGCATTAGTAGCGCTGTGCGAGGCGACACCGCCGCCGCCGAACTTGGAGCCGGCACGGTTCTGGTAATCCATATCGTATCTTCCTGCGCGTTTTTTATTGGTATCTATAGTATTTATATACTAGTTTTTGGAAATCTGTCGTCGCGCTGATGCTTTGCGTGCGAATTGAATGGGAATTTCGTTGGTGTCTGGTGGTTGGTGTTTGGTGTTTGGTGTTTGGTTTAAGATGGGAAGCGTGAAAAGAAGCTTCTGATTGATTGATTGATGGCGTTTGGAAGCTAGGGAGATAAGATAATAAGCTACCGGCCGCCAACAGCTGTCAAGTACCTAAACTTAAACTTAGGTAATCATCCCCCCTTTTATTATATCTTCATGCAAGTTTGAAGCCATGAAGTCGTAAAATAAATATTATGATCAATCTACAGCTAAAGCAACTACACTCATTTCGGATAGCATATTTACACTCACAGCTCACCGTAGAGACAAGACAATAATAACCGTTTGGTAGCCACGTTGACCAACTACTCGTAAGTAGGTAGTTTACTGCTATGTCATCTAATTCATCACGCATCAAAACATCGCGAAATACAAAAGCAGTATCGTCTCAATGATTTAGCAGCCAAGATATTAACGTAATCAGGCTACCATGTCTTCATTTCAGAGATGTGGCTTAATATTCTTTCCCCCCCCTTTTTCTTTGGCATGAGACTACCAGGTCTCACCGCAACATTATTTCCTGGATCTGGGGGATATGCCAGACAATTTAGTGGCCAAAGCCACGACCCCCGCAAAGTCCAAATCCTCAATTGTCCTAACCTCAGCTCTTAGAGATCGCAACCCAACTAGGTTCGGAAAGGGCTGAATAGTCAAGACCAGATAAAATCAACCACACGCTTAACGGAAGTTGTTATCGAACCGCTTGAACGTGTACCCGATGAACGGCAAGCTCATCTCGGGTGACTCCTCAGTTGGTTTCCCAACTGCGATGGCTTGGTTTCTCAAAGCCGTCGCATTGTCTGTTTGATCAATCTCGTCCGTTGGGAAATAGGTTGTGTCGATGGCTGAAGTTAGACGAGGTTCAAATGGAGCTCGAATACGTCGAAGACTATCGAATTCGACACCGCGGAAAAACGCATGGCTCTTAATTTCCTGAGCTCCACTCCTTCCAAGTCGCACCTCAGTGTTGCAGATGAGACTGGATCTTTATTAGCCAACATAATATATCAATGATTCAATACAAAACTTACCTTCGAATTAGGTGCTCAGCCTCTCTTCCAAGTGTGATGTCGTCCGGGAAATAAAGTGATTGTCGCCAGTTAACAATCTTCCGGTACGTGTCGTGGCTGTCTTCCGCGCAGAACGGCGGCCAGCCGACAAGACATTCGAACATGATAGTACCCAATGACCACCAGTCGCAATCAAAAGTGTAGCCTTGTCCTGTAAAGATTTCGGGAGCGATATAGTCAGGGGTACCCACGGTTGAGTAGGCCATCAGTCTTCGAGACTTCCTCCAGTCGTTAATTTGGGAACGGTTGCTGACCGTCAAGTTAATCTGGTCAAGAGCAACCGAGTTCCGATCCTTAGGCCGACTCGATTTGCCCTGCAGAAGCTGTTGATAGTAGTTGTTATCGTGAAGCTTGTGGAAACCTGTGGATAGACCGAAATCGGTAAGCTTGACGTGCCCACCTCGATCAAGAAGAATATTGTCAGGCTTGATATCACTATGCCATCTAGTCAGTAACAGAGGTACTCATAAATAACCGAGTTGTAATCATACCGGTGAATGAAACCAAGTTTATGAACGGCCTCGATAGCTAGCACGATCTCTGCGATATAGAATCGTGTAATATCTTCGGAAAAGATTTCGTACTTGATCAGCATCGTCATCAAATCTCCACCGGGCAAGAACTCCATCAGCATATAGAGGAAGTTGGCATCCTGGAACGTCGTGAAGAGCTTAACAACCCAAGGGCTGTCAGATTCGGCTAAGATATCTCTCTCAGCTCGGACGTGGGCTAATTGATCCTTCTTGAACATTTCGGTTTTAATTAGGGACTTCATCGCATAGACCTGACCGTCGGCCTTCTTCTGGACCAGTTTGACTTCTCCGAAAGCACCCTTTCCGATGATCTTAACTGTAGTATAATTCTCAGGCTTGTCTTTAGTTCGCAAGAATCGTAGATAGCGTGCTTCCTTTTTGCCGCCGTTTTGCCAAATCTGTTCGCGCCTCGAGGAGGATTGGTTGGGCTCTGAGAGTTTCTGTTCCATCTCGCTCTGCCTATTCGTAATTGAGCAGTTAGCGCATCTTCCTCAACATCAATGGTAACAATTAATCTTAGCTAAACAATAATGGCATACCGTAAGTTGCGCTCGCGAGCGCGCTTGACGCTATCCTTGAAGAAATCAGCAGCCAGCTGCGAACACTTTTTCTGGTTATTGTTCGCATTGAGACCATATTTCTCGGGGTTTCGCTCGGGCGCAGGCTGGAAATCGGGCTGGCGGGAACCTTGACCGGGAATGGGAGGAGCATTCGCATAGTTATAACCAGGTTGGCTAGACGAGCCTGACGTTCGTGGTCGCTGACCTGGAGAAGGACCTCGCGTTCCATAGGAACCACCTCGACCGGCGCCTCCTAGATTCTGGTGGGAGAACTGATGAGCCAGGCCGACATTGGGATCATTGGTCCCAGGAGTGTTGGATCGAGGCTGATATGCTCCCGTAGCTTGGGCACTACCGTAGTCGGCGGGAGCCTGATATGGGTTAGGCGCAAAGTAGTTGCCCTGGGGAGCATAGCCACCAGCATACTGCTGAGGGGCTTGAGACTGCTGGGCAGCAAGATGCTGTTGCGACGACGTTGGGAATACCGGCTGAGGGAAGGTAGAGGGCGTGGTAGGATATTGGCGGTCTGAGGAACCAGCCCGCTCGTTGCTGTTGAAATTAAGATAGAGGCGATTATTAGGGTCCATCTTGGTTGCGATTGCTTCAGAGTTGACTTTGTCAAGTATTTCCTAAGAGAAAGATTTAACCTGGAGTGAATGTAAATCGAGGTAACGAGTAGTCGAAGTCGAAGTCGAAGTCGAAGTCAAAATCGAAGTCGGGTCCCAGAGGTAACTAAGAAGGGTAGCTAGGGCTAGATAGGTGACAATAATATTGTTGTGGGTAACTAAAACTTCATTGGCTCTTTGAATATTGAGTCCACCGCAATATTGATCAATGTCTCAAGAAAGCGACTGTCGAAAGAGGAGGTGAAAACAATAACAACAGATAGGCCCAAATTTATGTTGCGGCTCGTAACGATTGCTGGCAACGCGAAAGTGCGCCGCAGTTGATAGAGGGGTACCACTGGAATTCAACTTGGAAATTCCTAGTATTCCCCTTTTCGCGTAAACGAAATGATCCGCACACAACTGAACGATAACTTGATTTCCTGACCCAGTAAGTAATAGAGGTAAAGAGAGTGTGCGAGGGGGGGGGGGGGGATTTTTCAGAATTATATGAAGTTGTCTGGATGGATCCCAACCCTCGAATGGAATAAAATGCTACTGGTCAAGGTAATTCCCTAAAAAGGACGGTAAGTGGGTGCAACGAAGCCCCTGAAAACACCTGCCAGCACGCCAACCGCCTAGGGAGGGGCGCTATGGACAGGCGATTAGCTATTCTTGGCGTAGCGTGCCAAGACCTCGGGCGCTCCCATGTTAGGATCAGGGTGCTTCGTTTATCTGTTAAAGCATTGCCATGTGCATATGCATGGAGACTATGCACATAGCCGCTCCAAGCTGGGAATTGTAAGGTCTTGATTGCATGTGCGTCCACAAGCAACTCGAAACTCAAGCTTGATTAATTGATTAACTACCTAGGTACATAATACATAACGTCCCTGACGCACATACATCACCCCATATCTCATCCTATTATCACATGCAATGCATGTTTACTTTAAAAAGACGACAATGATATCTGGCTGCATTGTTTATTTTCCTATCATCTTATCGTTAGCATATTACATAACAAGAACAAATGTCTGTACTATCTCTGTGTTTGAGTTAGAACACTTATGTCTGAACTTATATGGGATAATACATGTAGCCACTAGGTTAGGTATCTTACAAGCTTCGAAACCTGCTAAGCATACCTAATGTAATAATGTTAATATTCAATAATGTAATAATAAGTCATCAAACAGCAGTCTTAAACCCCTTCAATTAATTTACTTAGCAGGGAACCTTGATAATAATTTGACCCTTCATACATATTTATGTTTCTTGAAATTATTCCAAGTCTAGCCTATTATCCAGAATTTCCATGCAGATATCCCATTCTATTAGTTACCGGAGTATCTAAGTATTCTCTACCTACATAGGTACCTATCCAATAAGCTCATTTGATTGGCTGTGACTAGGTATTGTACCTAAACCGGTAGGTGAGCGTGGGGTTCCCCGATAGGAGCTACATAGATCCGACCCCATCGAAATTTTGTTATGGGCCGCATCTGATGAACATCGAGCAAATTTAAAGACTTCTTCTCGGCATTGTGGTTAATACAGAAATCTGAGGATAATTCGCTATGGCGGACCAAACGCCCCCCGTCCAAGGCGCTTCTTCAGCGTCGGCTTCGTCTGTAAGTAAAGTCTAGAAACCCGAAATAAACTGTCTTATTAACCTGCGACAGGCGGCGGCGGCGGCGGCGGCGACAGCGACAAGCTCTGGGTCTACTTACAAGGCCCCGACACCCAACCCAGCTTTCCGCATGATGGGAATACCCGGGCTACCTAAGAAACTCCCCTCTCGCAACTGGATGATCTTCTTCGCCATTACTGGGTCCATATCCGCCGCCATAATATACGACAAGCGCGAGAAGAAGCGCGCAACTGCCCGGTGGTCTAGAGCAGTCTCCCACCTCGCGCGCGAGCCCATTGCGAATCCGACCCAGCTACCACGAAAACTCACCATCTTCCTCGAGAGCCCCCCCGGTGACGGTCTCCGTGTGGCGCAGGACCACTTCACCGAATACGTAAAGCCGATATTGGCCGCATCAGGGTTAGACTGGGAGTTTGTGCAGGGCAGGAAAGAGGGCGACGTTAGAGCTGCGGTAGCTGAGAGGATACGACGGACGCGGCAGCCGGAAACAGAGGCACAGACTCAAGAGGAGATAATACGGAATATAAGGAAGAATAATAAGACACCCGAATGGCATGGTCTTCGAGGCGATATCGTAATTGGACGGCATACGTGGAAGGAGTACGTACGGGGTACACATGAGGGCTGGTTAGGACCTCTCACCCCGCCCGTATTTCCGGAACCCGAAGTGAAGAAAGCTGAAGAGACACCAGCCGCGGAAGGGAGCGAAGGCGAGAAGCAAGAGCCGAAGCCCGAGGAGAAGCCCGAGAGACCACCGCAACCACCACCATACAACACTACAAACGACTATCCCACGTCCGCCCTTCCGATGCTTATCCCCGCCGAGTTCTCCCCTTCAGCACCCATACCATTCCCCCATATTCTCGGCTTCTCTAACACCTTTATACGTTTAAGGCGATTCGTCAACCGTCGCCACCTAGCCGACAACATAGGCCGCGAAGTTGCAGCCGTATGCCTGGCAGCGGCGCGCGAGTACCGCGAGGACCTAGACCTAACACAGGCAGAGCAACAGACTGCTCTCGAACACGAGGAGAGCGACTGGCCTAAGGCTACATGGAAAGAAGATAAGCCCAAGGAAGGCCAAGAAAAGAAGGTTTCCGCCAAGCCCCAGGAGAAGATATGGACAAGTCCCGTGGTGCTAGATCCGCGAATCGCGATGCGCATGCGGCGCTTCGAGATCCAGCCTGAGGAGGAGGCTCGCGCCAAGGAAATCGTGGTCCCCGAAGAGGAGATAGAGGGTTGGATCAAGGGCAGTTTCCGGAGCTTGTACCGCTGGGCCATTTCGAAACCCGAGCCCAATCCCTCGTGGCCTGACGAGTGAGCGTTGGCTACCGACCGGCCTACCTAGACTTGCCTCAATCGAGGGATCATCAGGGATTCGAATGTAAAATATAATAGTATGCATAGAAGGATAACCTCATCGTGCATTGCCGGTTGGCATACGGCTCTGCCTGTACTAACATGCCGCAACTCATCGGATCTGCATAAAAAGGTGGTGGTGGTAAGGGGGCAACGCTGGGATGTGCTACGTTATGTGTGCAGGGTATTATACGATGACCATGTGATTATGTTTGCATTCAAAAAAAAATCACAACTCTGGAGCACTATTTCTCTGCCAATTGTTGTCTCCTTCGTACATTGTATAAATGTGGCATTGCCTTTTGCATCCGCTATAATAAGAGTAGTCTGTCTGTAGATTTGGCGTGTTAACTCCTCATATTAGAGCATACCTAGTAGTCGAATATCGGAGACGACAGGACTTACTACACTACCATTGTGACTATAGGTCTCATTTATCAACAATATCTAGATTGATCCGATAATTTCCACCCTCGACTTCCGATTCACCCATTGTAGAATAAATATTGATATCTCATCGGATATCCCAAATCTTGTTAGGCCTCAACATGTGTCAAGGCTAGAGCTGTAGGGATTGTGGCGGCGGTAAGCGAATGTCCATTATGAATTAGCAGCATGAAGCTTCAGCCGAGGTGCATCAATCCTCGTCATCCTCGTCGGAGCCATAATCCACCAGGCCAAGCTTCGATTTGGGCTTTGGCTTTGGCTTCTCCTGGTCTGTTTTGTCCTTCTCCTCTACGAGTCTCGAAGACTTCGGGTCAGAGTCCGCCCTAACATTCGGTATAGGCTTTGATTCCGTCTTTGCTTTCGGTCCCTCTAACCTCATACCTGGTGCGGCCGCCCGTTCAACTTCCTTCTCCGACCCGCTAGCCCTCCTTTTCACACCCTTAACAATGGTCTTCACCTCCTTATCCGGCCTCTTTCGCTTCTTTGCCCCGCCAGACCATGTCCCAACATCATCGCCGATACCTTCATGCACGGCATCACCGTCTTCGGCGCCCCCCGAAGAAGCAGCAGTCCCGGTAGCCTTCTGCGCCTGCCGGAAGCTAGCCAGCCTCTCCTCAGTCTCACGCTTGACCCTTTCCTCTTCAACGCGCTGCTCGTCGCGCATGCTTTCCAGAAAGTCGATCTCGTCGTCGTCCAGCGCGCGGAACTGGTTGCTAATGCGAGTCTTCTCCTCGAATGCCGCCTGCTTAGCCGCTAATATCCCTTGTTTTAGCATTTCCGTTCTCTCGTACATACCTAGGTACCTATGCAAACCTATACAAGTACATACATATTCCTCTCACTCCTACAATTCTGTCCCAAGAACTTGAAAAAGAGAAAAGAGATGAATTAAAACAAAATAATAAAAGAGAATCAAATCGTACCTTTATTCGCTTGCAAAATATCAAACAAGGTCTTATTCTCCCCACCTGGACCCCCTTCGACCTGTGCCCTACGCGCCTCTTCGCGTCTCCGGCGGTCAGCTTCGAGGTCGCGCTGCACGGCTTCCCATTCGGCGTTTCTCTTAATGGTTTCTTTGTCCCATTTCTGTGTTTCCGAGGCTTCTTGTGTCTTACTTGAAGGTGGCACGGATGCGGACTGCTGCGGTTCACCGTCGTCGCCGGCGATGGTACCGCCCGACACGAAACGGGATGTCATTCCACTTGTTATTCTGTAGATGTTTTAATGTATAGGTGTGTGGATAGAATTAAGAGGTAGCATGTGTCTTTTGGAAAACTCATAAAGTAGTTTGTTTGATTGGTTATACTTTAAGTCTTTAAGATTCATTTTATTTTAAAGATTCGTTTCCCAGTCTCAGATTAAAGAGCACAACAATGTTGACGTTAGCATCCTGTTACCAGCCTTTATCGATAAGTACTGCACCATAACAAGTAACAAGTTCCATCTGATAGGCCTAAATCATTTAAATCATTTACATCGTCCAAAAATCATCTGCATTAAATCTTGCTAACTTATATACAGAATTCAATAATCTTCTAATTATAGAGGGTATCTACCTAAAATAACAATTTGACGGGTCAATATACCCGATATCACAAGAGATACCCATATCTTCGTGAAGTTCGCAGTTTAATATTTTTAGTCTAGGTTTATCAATTGTACGTAACAATAAGCCGGAAAAAAGCCTCGATGGGCTGTCAACCATGGCACCTCGTTGTCTGTATCGAGGACACCTATAGCCATGCAAACTTCAAGACAGCCAAACCTTACCATACGGTTATATGTGCGAAGCATCGCTAACAACCTCCCTCAGACCCCAAACCCTCAACCCGTAACCCCTCACCTAGCCTTCCACCTAGGCTCTAGTCATGGCAATCGTGAAAGGAAATATTTCGAAATACCTCATCTCAAGGAGGCAAGAACAGTAGTAGTGAAGAAAACCAACGAGTATTAGAGCCAACCAAGTAGAAAACCCGTTACACGATTCCCTCTCATCGCCTAGCTAAGTAACGTAGACATCAAGGTCCAGAACCGCCACTCAGTACTAAGCTGATCAGGACAAAGGCGAAGACATCCATATCTTGTGAAGGCCGCTGGGTACTCGCTCCGAGATGGTTCACAAGGAGTAGAAAACAAATAGTGCAGCCTAATTTTTTATCCCACTCCCAATGCTGCGCCCTACAGCTGGGCCAATGCCCATTTTCTTTATTTCAACCCGAGAAAAAGAAAAGAACCAAAAAAAAACGTATCCTATGGGCCCTCAAACATACTGAAAGACATTTTCCAGTCTGTGAGCTGTACAGTGGGAACATAGACTGTGGGAAATACCCCTGAAGCATCCAAGATATCCACAGGACTGCTCAAAAAACCCGGGCTGGTCAGCTGTGCCAGCCTCGGGTAAATATTCGTGTGAATTAACGTAAGAATCGTGAGTAAACCGTAGACAAAAGAACAGGAAACTCAGTCCTACCCCGGCGAGCGCGCGAAGTATCGACCTAGGCCGACGAAGGCGAAAACATAGCCAGCTTACTCCACAGGGTAGAGAAAAAGTTACCGACGAAGCGAGATCTACCGTCCCGAATAAGACTCAAGGTATAGGTGAGCGATAGGACGATGAGGCTAGCTGTATAGTCCATCTCTTTATTTTAGAACGCCAAAAACACAACCTTGACTTTTGCCGCCGCCGGTATAGAAATGCGAACCCGAAGGTAACATGCGATAATCTATTGCAAGTGAGAACAGGAATACCGGACCATCCCAACAAACCAAAACCAATTAACGCCGCTATAATTATTGATGCGGAGACGTCGTGAAAGAAATCAAAATATAAAATCAAAAAGGAGCAACACGTATTCGAGGCGAAGGAGACGCCCACTGAATATGGGGATTCGGGACCGGCATTCGAGAAATCGAAAGAATCGAAAGCTTTCGCGACGACGGTACGAGCGAACGGGTATCGGCTCAAGCGAGAAAATTAGAATCGATTCGGCGACCTCCTTTACCCAACCCATCCCATACCAGGGATGAAAACCTTACGCCAGTGTATAGGAAACTCCGAGGGTATCTGAGTAACAAATTTATGTGCCTGAACATGCCTGAGAACGATGCCAGAGTAGACATTAGTGCAAGTAATCCCCATATCATAAAACCTCGGCTGAACACAAGAGTCAGCCTCATCCAAACTGGCATCGATGATACAACACGACGTGCCATCGTAAAACCGGGCCTAACCCATCACCGATTGGGTATCACTGTGCTATTACACGTAAACAGCCCCTGTGCCATGGCGCTGAACCCGACATTGGGTACAGCATTCAGGAAAGCTCGGATCCCAAGGACCAGAACCATATTGGGAACAGTAATGCTGAGGGAAATGGGATCCGCTACGGGATCCGTATCCGTTGTGACCAGGTGGCTTGTAGTGTCTGTTGTAACCCCCATTGACAGCCTGAGAGAACCACTCATCATAAGAGGCATTCACTGAAGCAGCCGAGTTGAGATACTCGGGGGTTCCGTAACCAGAATCCGGAGGAGTCAGAGGAGCCTGAGGCTGCGGCCAAGCATTACAATATGAACTTTGCCAAGAGCCCTCTCGGCATCGATAGCCAGTTGTCCCGACATGGGCGAGCCTGGCATTCATGCTGAAGCGTTCGTGCTCGGCAATTTCCTCCTGTGCCCAGCTCTGCAAGGCAAGGGGATGATGTTGCCGTACTGGCTCCGAGTGAATAGCAGTAACAATTGGTGCCAACCTCTCGCGCATAGCGATGTGGGACTGTTGCTGCTGCTGTTGTTGTTGTTGCTGTTGTTGCTGGATCTGGTGGAACTTCTTGTTCTCTTCCCATTCCTTCCAGCTCTTAAGCCACGCATTGTAGTCGTGGCTCTGGTCAAGATTGACATACAATGACCAACCGATATGTTTCAACCACTCATTTTCCATAGTGTTGAGTTCCGATACTGCAATGCCACTAACGTCGGACCATGATCGATTCTGGAAGGTATTGTCGTCGAGGAACTTGCTACCGAGGAGAAGAGCAATAGTCAGCATTTTCCACATCTGGCCCTCATTCGGATTGAATGAACCAGACTGGTTAAGCATATTGACTCTCTTAGCCAAGTAATTCATTCCGAGGAGGATGGTGGTGCTCGGGAGTCGTGTAGAAGTAAGGATCTGGTTTACGAACTTCCTGAACGCGCCAGAAACCGATGACTTAGGGAGAATGACTCGCACCGTCATATCAGCCACATATTCTGCCATGAGTTCAGTCTCGTAATCGAGAACTGCGCAGACGCCGCCCGGCATGATGGCGGTTGTGTGGAAGGACTCCGTCAAAGATCTAAGAAGGACCTTTGTCGGAGGGTTTCTGCTTCAAGCACGTGGAGACAGTTCAGCTGGGTGGAAGGACCACGACACAACTGGCTGGGATATCCAAGGCCGAAGAGATAAGAAAATATAGAGGGAAAGGTTATTGAGAACCCTATTGAGATGCGCAAGCCATGAAGTGGTTGTCCCTATCTCGACAAATCGAATTATAGGTATAATCGAGAGCTGGCTAAAGAGACTCGTCCCAATAGGAAGTAATGTGTTTGAAAAGGTAAATAGATAATCACGCTGTCTGCCGAGCTGGGGCGATGGCAGCGATTAGGATAGACGAAATTAGTGTCAAATTGTATTCGAGTAGGAAATATGCGCAAGTCGTCGAGGGTATAAAAGGTTCAGTGAAGACCTCTTAAATCTGCAGTTATTGATATTAGTATTAGTGAATTGACAAAACCATTATGTTCTAGGACAATGAATGGATATAAATAAACCCGCTCTTTGGGCGCGTTTTGTTTAAACCTTAGGTTGGGAAGCGCGCCGAGGCTGATTGTCTGATTGTCTGGAAGTGTTGAAACGGGAAAACAGGGACGTGCTAGTGAAAGTAAATAGAGAGGCAATAAAGCAATGGGCATAGATTCTTTCAAACTTTCATTCGAGATTCAAGATTAAAGCTGAACCGCAAATGAGTTTGAATTGTTTGTAAACTGTAGACGTGACTATGAAGTTAAAATTGTGAAGTTCGTGTGATAATCCAGATGCTCGGATATGTATCGGCATCCAGAAAATGCTCAAATCGTAGTCGCGATGGAAAGTGACGGCAATTTAAAGGAATCGTAAATGATTTGAATAACAGCAATGACGCAGTATTCTAGAAGACTGATTTACTTACTTGATGCGAAGGATGTTGATAGTGGTGAGAACGCTTCCAAGATTCGGCAACTAGGCTGTTCGCGAAGGAGTGATATGCGAATCCAGTCGAGCTGTACCTAACCGGTAGTGGTGTTCGTGTTGAAATGCAAGATTGGTCGTCGCAATTATGACTTTGGTTCACTTTTGTCTGAGGACGGGCTAGAAACGCTCTTTAGACCGGCGAATAAAATCCAAATAAGACCGATGTGTTGCTTTCCAGCTCGAGTACCTTCTCCTGCACAACAAAGTACAACTTCGCTGTGCCTCTCTCTTTTTCTTAGGGTTCCAATATGTCGTAACAACCTGAATCCTGACGTCGACAGCTCCGAGAATCGAAAATCGAAAATTCGGTTGAAGTCGAGTATATTGACAAGCGGCGGAATTGCAAGGTGTAAGAAAAAAGGAAAGAAGAAAAAGAGGGAGACGGAGGTAGAAGCGGCAAAGTAGTGGGTTTGAGGCGGAAGTGTTTGGGAGGTTGAAAGGATTGGGGAAGGATGGGGAAAATAGAGAGAGGTGATGATGTTGACGGAGCACGGCCTAAGGGAAAAAAAAAATCTGGTTAAGGTCAAGCCCACACACACTGGAGCATTTCTTACACAACTTAAGAAACCCCCCATGGCAACTTCGAATGTCTCCAATTTAGAGAGAGAAAAAAAAACAATCAACCAACCAGTCTCCGAGCAGACCAAGTGGGACCCAGACGTTCTTTGACCGCTAGCGCCTCTCGGTACCTTGTCTACTTGTAGTGTCCTCCTACTGTACCCAGCCCATTAACCCGCTAACCTACTGTAAAGAAAAACTGGGAGCGGCCAGCGCGCAGGCGTAGAAAAAAAAAAAAAAAAAAAAAAAAAAAAAGAGGCGAGTTGGCCACTGAAAGAACAGTGGGAACAAGGGGGTACACGCTACCTACAACACTGGGTATGTACAGACTGAATCGAGCTAGTAGCAAAAAGCGGTGGTCCAGGTTCTTCAGGTGGATACAGTGCCTAGAATCTAGCACGGTTCAGGCAACTGCTAGGGTAAAAAGTCTACTGACACCATGTCGTACCCAAGTACTTTAGTACCTGGAGATGTTGTCTCGGCAGGAGCTCTGGTAAATGGGGTGTCCGTAAAAAAATACAGGTACAATATTCCAACGCCAATGTACCGATTCCATTCATACCTACATCTGCGGATTTACATCCCGGCATCTTTAAACTCCTCTTTAAAATAAATAAATAAATAAATTTAAAAAAAATCAAAACCATCCATACATCTGAGATAACCTATCAAATCTCGTCGAAACTTTTACAGTACTTGCCTACCTACCTGCTTAGGTACCTAGGTATGTATGCTTTATTTTCAAATAGCTTATCCTTTCAGGACCCTTCCATATTAGAGGTTGAAAACTTTTTTGACAATCCATTGACTAAGTTCAAGTCTTTGCCTTTATTTCCAACTAACGCCGAAGTCTACCACTGAAGATCAGGGTCCTACCTATTAGTTACGCCTTAGCAAACTGACGAAATATGTAGTATGTTCCCATTATCTAACCATTTGACATCAACAATTACAATTAGGTTAGTCCGTTTGTCTTAATTCGCCGGTATTAGCTAGTTTCTACACCATGTTCAGTCCAGTCATTGTTAATATTCATGGCAGATGTATGGATCGATATATGTGAACCATTTACTCCCACGAGACGTATTTTTCGTCCTTTGTTTTCTAACTATGCAAACTGCTTCCAGTTAAATCTGCCAGTTTCTTATAATAACTATATTCTCTCAATACTGTAGAGAAACTAAATGAAGACAGCTAACCGAGGTAAGTAAGCGTTAGCTTCATGCTTCTCTTTCACACGTGGAGAGACTTCACACACATTCATTACAAAGCAACAGTCGAAACTTGTCAAGTAAGACGCGTGACCTCAAGGGATGTTGGGGAATATCAGCCTCTGAATGCGGAAAGTATTATTCCTTTTTCTGGGCGGGCGTCTTTTTAATCAATATCCCATCCGGGACCCCGACTAGCTCGACCTTTGCTCATTTCGGAACTACCTACCATCTCCTCCTTTGTTTCGATATGCGTTACATCACCCCATCTGGATAAAAGGTCAGTCTGTTATCTAATCAAAACGGGATTATTGCCCTCGTATGTATGATGCTGAGCTGTACCATACTCGGTCCTGCTGTTCCCGTACGAGCGGTGGAACAGAAATAGCGTCTTCGGTTCTTTGCGGTATTGTCATTTCTCAATATGTACAACAGTTCGAGTTGTGTCCTGATGGAAGCATGGGGCATGCTGCTTAGCAGACCACTTGGTCGGGCTCTTAAGCGTGGACGAAACCTCCATCACCACCATATGTTGTCGCATCCGAGTGAATTGTCAGGGCGATCCGGTCAGCCAGACTCGCCAAAGGCCAACAAGATTGACACTTTGACAGTTTCTGATATGCATCCATAACACCAATCCATGTAAGTCGACGCGTAAACTAACAAACGAAGCCACATACGTGTTGATGCCCATTTAAGAAACATGGAAAATCAAGGGTCCTCCCGTATGTGTACTATGTATGCTCATATCCAATGAACCCCTTTCCCGGGACGGCACTATATAAATCCTATGGCTGCGGATCTTCGGGAGTGATGCATACAATAGTAGGTACACATGTAAAGTCCATAACAAATGAGCCTCCGCGAGACTGCAGAAAGCATTTACACCCCCCTAGTGCCTAGGTAATGGATGGTATTTGATATCTCAATAACCAGCGTACATATTACACAAACAAATGACAAATTTTGCCACTAATAATTCTTCAAGAAGAAAACAGAAAACATTATTCGAAGCTAAAGAACATGCAGATACCCTCGATATCTGGGGTAATCTCGAATCTACCTACGTAAGTACCTACGTACCCCAGTACATAGGCCCGTAGGGTTCAGGTAACCAACCCGATAATTTCCAGAAGGGCGTGACGACCCATAAGGAACTAGCCTATCAGAGTTATAGGATTCATAAAGGAGCAATGGATTTCCCCGATACATACATGCACTAAACCCACCCCGTCTCTCGGTCCTTCTGCACTAACCCCCCTAAAATCTTGTGGGAAAAAAGTTAAATTGGTAATATCAAAAAAACTTGGAAGTTCTGAGGGATTTTTCAAACTGAAGCATTCGGTCTCGGCTCTCAATTCTCAAGCAGTAATATCCACTAAACGTCTGATCGTTGCGTACATACCTACCTCTACATAATAAATTCATATTACTGAGTTGCTTTGTTGTTTTGTTGCTTTGTTGCCTCACCAAAGAAAATCACAATTAGCAAATTTCGACCGCAATTACTATTCAAACATGCAAGAAATCCAGAACTGCTGATCAACACAACACAATTCTTCATAATGTATATATAATGTATACGTCACCGCCGCATGAATCATCCTGCTTGACACATGCAGAAATGATGGATGGAGCTACAACGACAGCGATGCCGAAAAGGCTTATGTAGCTGTGTAGCCGAATTGGTGCAATATTCTTGGATGATCAAGACAACCTAATGCAGCTTGCTATCAGAAATGGGCAACACCCTTCACGACCCAGCCTCACTAATGAGGTAATGGAAGGACTTAAGTTACTCACCATCTCGGTTATCGATCTAACCAATTACGTAGAGAATAAGACGTCAACAACCCGTCTTTACATAGAGTCGATCACTTACCCAGCACCTGGCGAGACTTCGGATGTGGATTGATACTATGAATATCCCATATGGACCCTGACTCTATCCACTTGGATGGCTTGGGTAGGCGATCGAATCAGATTATCAGACGCCCTAGGACACAAAACGGTCCTGTGCCACATTCGTACGCACGTATCACGAATCTCCGCAGAATTGCTGCAGCCCTTCAATGGTTGTAAAGCACCATACCTATGGACTGTTAGGTTGACTTGCTTAAGCTCGAGATCCCTTTATCCTACTTACAGAGGAGCTTGGATGGACTATCGAATCAGCATCATACGTTTCCTGTACATACCGATGTACATACCGATACATAAAAACGGCATTCTGTACCTAGGTAATTCCAACCCCCCACACAAGCGCAACCGGCCATCGGCTCAACAGATTCCCTCCTAGGTATGTACCTAGGTTAGGTATGTATGGAACGAAGGCTAAACGTTGCTTTGCAGTACTCCACAGACAACAATGGAATACATATCAGAAAGCTCTAGAGATTTACTAGTCTATTCTAAAATTTCGTAACCCCTCTTCTCCTGCCGAATAATTTTTTTTTTCTTCTTCGCACGAGTCCGTCTCTGCATTAGTAGCCTCTAACAGGTCCGAAAAGTATGCGGGTCAACGGGCTATCCGCATGTCTAGGGGTTCCGT